TTGTTGCAAACTGCATGGCGGACTTCTTAATGTGTCCTCCTCTTTAAGTCCCTCTCTGGGGTGCTAAACTTGCAATTATTCTCATTTATACCTTGTTTACTAATTAGGTTTTATTTACAGTAATAAGGGTAAAGTAGCCCAAAGGATGCCACACATTGTCCTTTCCCCTTCCCAGTTATGTTGGTCAACCAAATAAAACTAATAGTGATGAGATTACAAAAGAGAAGTCAAATCTGATCTATTTTCAATCCTAAATTAGATATTTTTTTACACCTGAATATGCTGTTCAGTTAGTTTACTCCCATCTGTACAGTTTCATTGGCAGGTTTGTGAACTGAGAAGGAGGAGTAACAACACAGCAGGGATCAGATCTCAACTAGATCAGTTCAGAGTGAATGCAGACTCAGCTTCAAGCAAAATGGAAAGTGGTAAGAGCTTTTAGACATACAAGTTATTTATTTCATTTAATTCTTTGCTAAATTTTCATTAAAGTAGATATTTAATATCAGTAATGTTGTTAGGTTCTTTTAAAACCAGGTCTCTTCTCCTGTGAATTCTGGTTGATGTTTCTTAAACCATTTCTATTTTTACTCATCAGATAATGGAAATGGGACTTCAGTTCATTCATCTGGACTGAATATTGTCAAGCACATCAAAACCTTCTCATTAGTCATCTACTGTGCAATCATTTTGGTTGGCACCGTAGGTAATGGTCTGGTCATCTATGTGACAGGCTACAAAATGAAGAAAACTGTCAACTCTGTTTGGTTTTTTAACCTGGCTCTGGCAGACTTCCTCTTTACAGCCTTCCTGATTTTTACAGCTGTCTCTCTCTATCAAGATCACCACTGGCCCTTTGGAAACTTCATGTGCAAGCTCAACAGCTTTGTGAGCGTAGTCAACATGTTTGCCAGTGTCTTTTTTCTGACAGTCATAAGTCTGGATCGCTGCTTGTCCATCTGGGTGGTGGTGTGGGCACAAAACAAGCGCACCATCTTTAAAGCTCAAGTCATGAGCGCTGTCATCTGGTTGGCTGCAGGGATCTGCAGCGCACCTTCTGCTTTCTTACGTACAGTGAAAGAAGAAGGCAATAACACCTATTGCATTTACAATATTACAGACAAACAAAAAACGAGTCTGTACACATTCCGCTTTTCTTTGGGCTTCCTCGTTCCATTCGTTGTGATACTCTTCTCTTACGTGGCTATAGGTATCCGTGCCAGGCGTCTTCAAAGGACAAGCAAACGGAGGTCTCGGCGAATCATTTTCGCCATAATTTTTGCATTTTTTATTTGCTGGTTTCCCTTGCATGTTTTGAGCTTCATAGAGTTAAAACGCTTAGATTCTCTCATGAGACTTGTTCAAATTGGAGGTCCTCTTACTGTATGTCTGGCCTTCATGAACAGCTGCCTAAACCCCATCCTCTATGTCTTCATGTGTGACGAGTTTCAGAAGAAGCTCAAGCAGTCCATATGGTTGGTTCTAGAAAATGCCCTGGCAGAGGACCACCTGTCATATGTTGGATCCTCCCGCTCCTTATCATCGTGGATTCCAAGAAAGTCTGTTTCTACTACCCCTACTGGTGAGGATGACGCTAAGACATCCATGACCTTAATGGAAAAAAAACGGACCCACACAAGGAGTTCAGGGAGCACAGAGGAATCAGCCTCAAAATGACTGAAAGCGAGAGGTTGAATGAACCGCACTGAAGAGCTCTGGACAAAGTTTTGATATTAAAAAAAAAACTGTAAATTTGTGCAAAGACAATGAAGGAATCTATTTGGATTAACGCTTGTTTGTCCTTACTTGTGTAAAAAATGTGCAGGTGTTTTTGTCTGTGGTTACCTAGAAATCTTGATATATTTAACAGGAAGTCTGATAAAATCACAGAGACCCTTTCCCTCCAGATTTATTAAGCAAATGTAACTTGAAACCCTGTGTGGGTGTGCTGTGGCATTTCATTCTACATATTAAGCTTTCAATGAAATTACTGTAAATACTGCAAATCTTTGTATGTAATGACTCATTTACTTCAGAACAGATTGGATATCTCTGGCTTTTTTTCCCACTCATGTACCTGCATATTTAACAATGACTGTATTTCCATGTTTCTCTGCTGCGTCGCTAAAGGTTTCAAACGAGGCTTTTCAACACAACTGTTCGAATTTCCAGCAATTAATAAAAGTATTCTGAAAACAATGTCTTTGTTACACTTTTAGCTTTGATTTATTATCTTACAAATATAACAAAAAACACGACATTGAGAGTTCTTTTTCTTTTTTTTGGAACCAAAGCAGCTGGAGTAGGTAACAAACGAACCCTGTAAACTTCTATGTGGTTTTTCTACACGTACACCTTATCAGATTCACAACACTCAAGTTGCAGCTCTTCGCAGACATAACATTCTGCACGTGTGATTGAAACATAACTCCTGTGAGGTAAAATGAGCACTGAGAGCTGATATGCAAGAAAAAAAAAGGTTTATTTGACTCTGCAGAGGAGAACAACACATACAGCTGAAACTGCTAGTGTGGGTCTGGTGAGGTAGCTGCCCACCCCTGCATATATAGAGAATTCTCAGACACGAACATGGAGTCTCCCCAAGAGAAACACTTCAGTTCATCAAAGACATGAATTTAGTCAGATAAACATTTCAGACAACTGTTTCCCATTAAAACCAGAAACAGTGAGGACATGTTCATCTATGATCCTTCTTATCTAAACTAGGGAGGAAACTTCTTCTCAAACCTCCTTCCTTTTCCCACATCTCAACATAAAGAATGGAAAAAGGCCTCTAAATAATCACCCCTATTAAGGCAGAGAAAAGGCACACTTTAATCATTTTATCCCACAAATAGGCCAAGGAAAAATACGATTCCACAATCCTCTCAATTTTGTTTGACTATTACAGAAAGAATGCATTCTTTGAAATAGTATGGATTTCATCATTCGCATTACAGAACATACGCCATGCCACTATTGTGTCTATTGAAAAAACATAAAGGAGCAAAATAAGGTCTGTGCTGACTGTTAAACACAAGCAAAGAAAATATGCTATTCATTCCATTCCTTTTTGGCTATGAGATAACTAAACAATTATGTTCCTTATAGGGAGCTTTATGATTGGTTGCAAACCATCCCGTTTAAGAAAACGCATTTGTGTGTTGATGCACATCAAGGGAGTCTCAAAAATCCACACACAAATGCAGTGAAGTTTAAAGACTTCTGGTACTTTGTAATTTAATTTATAATTGTTTATGGACCAGAAATACTTTGGTGAATCTTGTTCTGTACATGTGTGGATCTCATCCTGTGCATGTATGAAACACATAGATGTATTTGTGAAAACTGAGACCGATCTAGATCCATAGTTCCCATCATTAATATTCCACTTTATACTGAGGTGCAATAACTCACAAAAGGTAGATAAAATGACAATATATAGTCATTTCAACAATAGGGTATATGGTGCTTTACATCAATTAAAACTTTCTCTTAAAAGATTTAAATCGATATATTTGTGATCTGTTTTAAGCATTTACTGAACAGATTATGGCGTAAAGAAAACTTAAATTCAAAATCCTGTTGTACAGAAAATCTAGAATATAACCTTAAACCAAAACAAGAAAATTTTAATAGTTATACCATGTTATGACTCAATATTTGGGAAGACTGCTGACTCAACAGGTTTTACGCAGACAGTCATGGACATTTTTTGCATGAGAGGAAAGTTGCATAGGGCACTATATCCCAAAACTTTAATGTAAAGTTGAGTCGAAGAATGACAGGTATGAGAATACGATTTGTAGGGATAAACTTGAGATAATTGTGAAATAAACTCCATTTAAGATTTTTAGAATGCTGAATGGGACAACAGTCGGTGCTTTTAGAGCCTCCAGACAGGGATATCCACATCATGGGGTACAACTGTCACAACTCTTGCCTTCCCCCACTTCTAAACCACATTAGACAAGTCTTTGCTGAGCAAAGGAGAAGAGAAAGTGGACTGTTACTCAGTGGTGGTAAAAGTTGCTGACTTCATAATGACTTATAGAAATATACAACATAAGCAAAAACATGCTGCTATGAACGCATTTTGATGCTCTTTAAGTTCTCCAACAGCTAAACTGTTCTTATATTTTCACATTATGACTAAGGTGGTTTGGAACTACGGAATATCCAAGCATAAGACTGTTTTGGAAGAGGTTCAAACCCTTTTTTCCTAAAAAAAAAATATGAAAGAAGGAAAATTAACATTAAAAGGTACCCTTAGTCCCTGTACATAGGTGTATGCATTTTGTGGTTGCAATGGCAACAGGTAATAACTATGAATGAAGATGTGTGCAGACACATGTTAACGTGTATATCTACGTTAATTTATTTGCTTAAAAAACTAGTAAAAACTGAGTAGTATGGACTTACAACTAAAGAAGAAATCAGGAAGATTGTTGGTGCAGGGTACATGCTAGAGAGGTCATCAGTCCATTGCAAGGCAACACAGAGACACCCAACCATGCACACACAAAAACACACACAACTAAGGACAATTTAGCCAATTAACCTAATAATCATGTTTTTGGACTGTGGGAGGATGCCAGAGTACCTGGAGAGAACCTACACATGCACAGGGAGTACATGCAAACTCATGCAGAAAGACCCTGGACCTTCCTGGACTCCAGGACAAAATATTTAGCCTAACACTTAAAGCTATTGCAGCTTTTTTATTCTTTTTTTTTTTTTTGTATTGAAAGCCACACAAACTGTTTATTTTTAACACGTGTTTGTCTTTTAAGAACCAAGTTAGCAAATTGTTTAAAGATAACACACATATACGCTTATATGTGAGTACTCCCATAGAAGGACTACTCTGTAATAAATCTAATTAAAATGACCCATACAGGAAAATACTGAATAAAACACTTGATAAATCTGTCTGGAAAACTTAACTGGAAGTTATCAAATAAATTTTGTTCACCAATTTATAACAATGACAGCCTCCGTTTTACAGATCAAATTTATTGGCAGTGTGCACACGCTATACAGGTCTTTATCTTACAGCAAACCACACTGGTTAGTACTCGACTTCCTGTTTTCAAGCTAGACAATCCAACCTGAAGAATCTGATCAAATACTATACATGTGCGTTGAATATTCAGGGTTAAATATGCATGCACTAAACTGAAACACATTGGAGGTTGACTGAATTATGAAATAAAGTAAATTACATGTTTACAGCATCTTTAAGTGGAGTAAGAGAACTTTTGCAAGAGAGTCATTGCATTACCTTGCAGTCGACAGTACAGATAAAAGATACCTTTGGTGAGGTTAGTACAAGAGAACCCAAATTGCAAAAAACAAAACAAAAATAAAAACTGCAAAGAGGCAATGAGCAGCACCATTTGCTTACACAAACTGGTGAGAATTAAGAGAAATCAAAACCAAAATTCAACAATTCAATTGGTTTAAGAAACGTTAGCTGATACCAAAGCAGCTTTGTTAAAGATAATGAATGCAAATCTTTGCTTTTGGGGGGATTCCCCACTCGCTGTTTCTCATTTATGTTAAACAGAAAGGGAAGAAAAAGTTCCAAGAGATAAAAATCATTACATAACACCCGTGCATTTGTTAAATATTTAATCAACCATCTTTTTTTTTCTTTCACTTTTTTTTTTAAACATGAGATGTAAATTTGTCATTACACTCTATTGCAAGAACTACAATGAAATGGCACTTTTTCCAACACCAGCATAAAATCTACAAAAGACAAAAATAACTATTTGAAAGAATGAACAAATAAAACCATGAAAATGGTTTAAAAAAATGATAATAAAAATAAAAACAATAAAACATACATTAAAAATACCTAACTGTAGAACTGCACATTAGCTGCATTCTGGAATACCTGTTTGATTCTGCTATTCTTTTTAAAAGAACGCTATTTCCGCAGGGTGAAGATCAAAGTTTTGTTTTACAGAAATTTCTCTCCAAAGGCTAAAATAATAAGTGGGTGGTTCATGAACATTTTTAGAGGGGTAGTCAGTCAGGGACAATTATGGACTGGGGAGCGGCCAAAAACCCAAAGATGCCAAAACAAGTTTAGGATCAATGTATATTGAACAACAAAACAACAGGAAAGTGAACGTTCAAAACATCTATACTTTCCAAACAAATCTCTAAGGACGGACCCAATTTTCTAATAGCTTCAATAAGCCCCCTAAAAAAGCTTCACACATCTATATATTGACGCTGTTTAATGTATGGTTCTACGAAATATATTTAATGAGTAGTTATTCTTTTTAATTATATAAAAGACTCTGTGAATGCATAGACAAACTCTCCCACATCAGATCTATTTCTTTAAGGACTGTTAATCCTCTTTATTTGTAGTATATTGTTGTTATTCATTAATTGCTGTATTTTTGTTGTCAGTTTTTTGTTAACATACTAACTTTAAATGTCAATGTAAGACATTCCACATGATCTCACTGCTGCCACCTGCTGGTTTAGAGGAGAAGTGCTTGTTGTAGTGCAGAGGTGCTTAAGTCCAGTCCTCAAGACCTGCCATTGTGTAACTTTTAGATGCATCTCTCCTCTCACACACCTGAATCTAAAGGCGCAATCCACTCATTTAGCTCAGCAGAGTTATGGTAATGAGGCACTTATTTGATTCGGGTGCATTGGGGTGCAGACAAAAAACTTGCAGGAGAGTAGATTTTGAGCACACCTGTTCTGGAGGTAGTGAATTACATCCAACTAGGAACAAACATGATAATATGACTAACCTGATTAATGGAGGCATCAACAATCGCCTGGATCAAAGACTTCATTACAAACAGTTTGAGATTGAAGGAAAATCTTATTTACCCATTTCTATGCATAAATGGTCTCACCATTCATTTTTACTCAGTAGACCTCCGACTTCCAGTGCGAGACTGACTCTTGTCATATACAGAAGCATCCATTCCTTGAAAGTCTTTGGTTGTAAAGAAAGGGGAACTGGAACTAATTTGTAGCATGGTATGATTAAAATCATCTGAGCCTGAATTTGAATTCAAGAAAAAGAACAGTTCAGACTATTACCATCATGGAAGGAGAAGTGGAATTGATAATACTGCAAATACCAGTGTTCCTGGACAACGGAGTAACTGGAGACGGAACTGTGAAGTCATCCACAATAAGGGACAAGAGCGGACTTTAATCTTAGGTCATTCAGCATTTGCAGCAAGATTCTGCATGTTCTATATATCTGCTGTGAAGAGTTTTCTATTCTAATATAATCCACTGGGGTAGCAGAATCAGAAAAAATGACTAGCTAATAAAGAAGAGCAGCTCCAGCCTGGGAGCTCCTCTAAAACTGATTTTATAAAAAACTAAATCAATATTCCAAAAATTAGCATCCATTTCTTCTGACTTTTTTTAGTCAGAGGTTTCTCAAGACCCACTGCAATAAAGACCGGAGGCAGACAGGATCTCCTTCCTCCCTAGTGCGTATAGCCATTAATATCTATAACTTGTTCAAGAAAGTCCAAAATATGAGTTTTATCAGCATAATTTTTTGGGGGGATGAATAAGATATTTTTGTATTTGTTTGAAATACACCACAATAGACTTAAATCATTTTGGAATTTATTAGGATGTATTTTTGAGCGTTTGGAAAAAAAAAAAAAAAACATACAACCTTCTATGTAATTCATTTAGTCATTTACAGTTTGTTTGACCAAAATGTTCAACTACTACATCACACTTCAAGAGAGAAAATAGAACAATCAAGTTTCTGTAATTTAAAGGGCATAAATTCTGATAAGGTTCAAAGTTCTGCTGCTGTTTTTTGCTTTTCTACTTGTGAAAACATTAAATCCATGGCTCCTTTCCCACTATGGAGATTTCATTGAGCAGCGAGCAGTGGCGAGGCAGGCAGTCAGTTGTCATACAGCTCCTTCATTTCCTTTAGAACCTTGATGCTGTCACTGTACCTCAGCTGGTTCTTATTGGAGCACTCCTTCCATCTAAATGAAAGAAAAAATAATCTAAATAAAAAGCAGTATCATATGATGTACATTTGTTTAAAAGTTTATTGTGATTTATTTAATTGTTTTTCATAGACATGGTTTTTGTTTCACCAGAAACAAGCAGGCTTTAAAGCCAACCTTTCTCAACCCACTTTAGGTTAAGTCACAACTAATATTCCGTAATTCATGTTTAAAGTGTAAGATACAGTACAAAAAAAATGGTTAGCCTAACAGAGTTTAGTATTTAAGTCTCCTTTCTTCCCCTCTGCTGATTTCAGTTACTATATAACTATGAAAAAAAAGGAGCTTTGTGGAAAATCTGAAGAATTTTCAAAATTAGATTTTCTCCCATGAAGGAACTTCGTCACTTATGATGTGTGGACATCACATGAAAACTATTTTGTTTAAAAGATCCTCATGTGTGAGCGACTTGTTTCTCAAACACGACGTTAAAGGCGTCAGAGTGAACCAGCAAATTTGAGAACACGGAAATGAAATCAACAGCTTAATGAAAAGGTCTTTAACTAGCGGCTGTGCTAGTTACTGCAAACTCTACTAACCTATTTCTCATATATTATTTACCTTACACAGACTACGATCCTTGCATCGGCTTCATCTGACTCATAAATTATTTTTTAAGACTGTTTCAAGTTTTAAGGGACTTAAAACTTTAAGGGAGTAGGCGGGTACACTCAGGTTCCCTAAAAAGAGGTGGACAGTGACGCCTCATTTTTTTCTTAAAATAACTGCTTTCTTTACCAGATCTTGGATAAGCAGAAAACGATCGGTACATAAACCTGATGTATTTGTGTGTTTTGAACTTTGTTTTCCTTTGTCTTTTATTCTGTGGTTCAATCAGACCTCCTGTACTCACTTATTACAGACAGCTAGGGTAAAGATGGTGGAAATATCCATAAGCATCGACACAACAATGCTTTCTTTTATATGTACATTCTATTTCATAAAATATGTGCTGTGGGATTTGTCTGGAGCTGGGCTTGCCATCTTAGTTCCAGTGACTGCTTCAGCATAACAAGAGCCTTTAGAGAATTCCAGTCCGCCAACTTTGTAGGAACAGCTTTAAACGTGGCCTCTTATACTGTGGACCGGTGCACAAAGCAAGGTCCATAAAGGCAGGAAGTAGTTTGGTGTGGGGGAGCTTGACAAGCTTGAAAGGAGTCTGCTTTTGTTGTTAAATCCAGGAAAACTTATGTTCTGGAGATAGAGGCTCAGTTTTTGTTTGATATTGAATTTGAATGATTAAAAACTGCTGATAAAGAGATGCTGCTAAACAGCAACATTGCTAGTAATGTGCCAGTAGTCTGTGATTTTAACTTTTAGATGGTGATGGCATTGCCAAAGATAGGACACTTGCTTCTCAGAATGACCATACAGGCTGGGGAGTTAATACTCAGACTGTTACTGATCTTGAGACTAAAAGAAGGAGTTTGAAGTGGGAAGTTTATGATTTATTGTTTTTTTTTTTTAAATCACATTTTAAAACACTGCTACTTTCAAATAAACAGAAAAAAAAACTCAAGAGCAAAACTCAAAAAGTTATTAAGTGAATCGAGGACTAAGGTGAGTTTTCACATATGGATGAATCTTTCTTGAAAAAAAAAAAAAAAAAAAAGAAAAGAAAGAAACAACACAAAACCCAAAATCTAGATAATCTAAAATATAGAGCACTTACTTTTGTCTTATTTTTTTCCAGCGTTCCATGTGGTCACTGATTAGAGCTCCTGATACAGGGACATCTGTCGACTGGACAAAGACTAACTTTAGTCTCACAGTATCTCAGCATCATAAAGTATCTCACTAAAGTGAAACATGCCCACATTTCTTTTGATGTGTTATTTTTATGGGGCTAGAATGAAAATGTGACACAATGTAAAGTAGTTCATGTACAGCTTGTATGACATTGTAAATCTGCTCTACTCAGAGTAAAAGAAAAAGAAAAAAAAAAAAAACACACATAGGGCTTGGCAATATGGCTTAAACACAGCACCCCTCAGCTGCAGCATTGTCGCTCTTTAGCACCCAAAAGATGCTAATTTTGACCAAATGTCCGAAAAGGTGTGAAATATTTTACATTATCCAACATAAACTAGTGTATAACAGCCTTTATGCTTATCACACAGTGAGCCAGTTTATCAATTATGAGTTACATGTCTAAGGACAAAAAGGCAAGAAACTAATGTCCCTATGAGCCATGGAAGCCCAAAGAGTGGATGAGTGAAAAAGACAAAAAAAAAAAAAAAGATTTTCCAAAAATTTAGTCTTCATAAAAACTGTGACTAATGGAATAAATGGGTTAATCGTCCAGCTCTACCAAGAACTTAACAGGTGTTAAACATCCTGATGGCCAAGACCAAAAGGTGGTTTAACAGGACAGCATCCATCCACACAGAAGAAGCCAGGAGGACTAAAGAAGCTGAGTGCACAGCTGATATAAAGCAGATTTAGGGGGGCTGCAAAGATTTCTGTAGCGGTTGAGAGGGTGAGGATCAGCTCGTCAGGGCATAGAGCATACACCACAAACTGCATCTAATTGATGTGAATTGCTATTACCACAGCAGGGAGCCCCTACTAAGGATTATGCACAAGAAAGCCTGCTAACAGTTAGCTGAAGCCAAGGAGACTCAGCATATGGTTTATGGAACCATGTTTTGTGGCCTGATAAAAAAAAAAAAAAAAAGATAAACTGTTTCGGATCAGGTGGTGTCAAGCATGCGTGGAGGCAACCAGGGAGGAATAAGAAGACAAGTGTGTGTTCCCTAGTCAACCATGGTGGTGGGAGTGTCAGGGTTTGAGACGGTGGGTGCTACGGTGAATACATTAAAGCAGAGCATGATTGCTACCTTCAGAATCTGAGGTGCAGGGCATTTTTCCAACATGATAATTACCATAAAAACACCTCCAAAACAACCAATGTGTTAATACAGAAACTGAGCATTAAGGTTCTGGACTGACCAGGCGTTTTTCAAGACCAGATTCCTATTGAACGTCTATGGGGCATCATTAAATAGAAGGAGGAGTTCAACGTCTGCAACATCCACCCACTCTGTAATGACGTCATTGAGGAGTTGAATAGGATTCCACTAATAACCTGCTCTACGTCCAAGAAAGTCAAGGCAGTGACTGCAACATGCTGGACACTCAAATCTGCCTTTATACAAGCTGCATTGAAACAACTACTACTACTACTTTAAATTGTATCAAAGTGTTAAATGTTCTGCTTTTTCCCATGAAAACAGAACAAATAAAACATTGAGCAAAAAGTGAGATGAAAACTGACTTTTGTGAGATACTGTATATAGGGATCTGCATTTTTGTATTATCGTTAATATATAAAGAGCAGCATTTAAAAAACATATCATCTGCTTACCTTGGAAATGGTTGGTTTCTCAGTCTGAGGGATCCTGAGATTAATGGGTTCACCAGTGGGGCTAATTGGGCAGGCAGATGGTAGTGGGAGCCGGTACACATTCTGACCTTTGCCATTCATCATATCTGGGACCTAAAACACAAAAAAGGGGCAAAAGAAATTTTTTTTATTTTTTTATAATGTATGAAATTAATTAATGCTTTCAGCGATACGCTTTCCCCTGTTTTTTTTAAAAAAAATGTTTATTTTGTTGTAGTTTTTTGGTCGTGTTTACATCCACAGTTCTCAGTCATCATGTCAAATATATTTGGTCTCACCTCATCCTCTGTTACACTTTGGGGGGAGCTTGGAGATGTAGCTGGCTCCCTAAATGAAGGATTGTTTCTCATCCAGGCTCGGCAGATTGGATACAGTGGGGTGCTGGTGTTGAACTGAGCTAAATCAACACTACGATCAAACAACTTGATAATGTATGAATCTAAATAAATAGTAGAGAAGCAGAAAATACAAGGAGAAATGAAAAGCCGCATTATATAAAATGCCAAAAATAGGAAAATTAACAAACATTAAAAAGAGTACAATTGCTATCAAAATATCATCGCCTTAATATTCAGACACATGAGCTTACTCTGTTTATGTTGATTGGTCTCTGGTAAGCCCTCATCCATTTCCTTTCGCTTCTTTCTCCGGTGCTGTGGAAATCTTACAGAAGGTCTGGGAAAAAAAATAAAAATATTTATAAATAAAGATCAAGGCTCATCAGAATCACTAGTACTTTACACAGTAGACAGCTGACATAAATGTGGAAGTATACAGTGTGAAATAAAGAAAATGCACGTTGGAAAGTAACAAAATGTCTGGCAACATCCAAAACATATTGGACAGTTACCTTTTTCCAGCAGATGTTGGAGACAAATCTCTGGATAGAATAGATAAACAATTTGATAATTACAAATCAATAATGCCATGATGGTAAGGAGATACAAAACATGATAGACTAGATACAAAGCAAAATGAATAAAACACTCATCCATACTTGTTCAAAGAGTCCACCGACAACTTTCCAGAATCTTCATTCAGTTCTCTGTTAAAAGTTTAGCAAAGGAGTTATTAATATTTTAGTGCTAACAATTAAAAGAATGAATTGATCATCAGAAGTGTTTTATAAACCTTTCATTTTCACTCTTTTCTACAAGTCCCTTCAGCACAGCATCCAACCTCCCACGGGCACCTGTGCTTTCCAAATCTGAAGAGACAAAGCATTCGTTAAAGAAAAGAAATATGTTGATTAAGTCTGTATTATCTGTATATTTACGATTTTATCGAAGAGTCAATCTGTAAATGTATGCATGTGTGTTTTTGGTGGTTTTACATATAAATCCATTTAATTAAAGCCAATACAAATCATGCTAGAGCTATCTTAATAGAATAATAATATAAACTCCAGACACTAGATCTGATGTTATTAACTGTGTAGTTGATGACAATTTTGTTATATACTATTATAAAAGATTTCTTACCTGGCTTTTCTGTCTTTATCTTGACGTGGTGCATTTTGTCTTACAGAGTTACCTTTTCAGTAAAAAAGACAAAACACTTACAAAAATAAACAAACGGACCTAAAACAGCTGTTTTTTCCCACTTCTAACTGGGTTCTTTGAGCTAACAACGACCTCTTGTTGACTCCTCTGTAACAGCAACGTTAGCCAGCTAGCAACGTTAGCCAGCTAGGTACGGTTAGCTATTAAAACATTTAGCCACCCGTCTGCTAACTGTTAAAATGAGTCTAAAACACAAACTCTGTGTACAGGTATTAAAGACCACTGTCCATATCTTAAATAAAATAAACATACGTTAATCATAAATATCTAATTCCGTCTATAAATCATTCGCAGAGTGAAATGTTTAAGCTCTAATACTGTTCTTCTTCTTCTTATGAGATTTTATGGCGGTTGGCAAACTTGTGAAATGTGCATTACCGCCACCAACTGATATGGAGTAAAGCAAGGAAACAGGAAACGATTCACCCCCCCCAAAAAAAAAAAAAAAAAAAAAAAATACAATAAAATAACCTGTGTAACTTAAACCCACATAATACTAAATTATACTAAATTACATTTGCCCGTATAATTTTAATTTACTCTAGGTCATCGTACCTCTGCCAGTTTCTGATGGTCCCATTGGTCTTTCCATCATGCTTCCAACCATCTCCCAGTTCATATCTTTAACATCCAGATATTTTTCTGCAGCCTTCACTATTATTTTGATTTTTTCTGTTTTTTTTGTCGTCTGAGCAGTACAATTAATCACTTCCACCATGAAAAGAACAAAATTTGTCTTTTTAACAATTAGTGAGTCTTCATCAATTTTTGGAGATTTCTCTAGAGGTTTGAAATTTGCCGTGTGTTGAACTGTAGGTTTGGGTTTTTCTGACTGAGATGGGATCCTTTTTGCAGCTTCAGCATAAGTTATTCCAAGCTCAAATTTCATTTTTTTTATTTCTTCAGACCTTTTGCTTGCTTCACAGCCGCGATAAGCAGCAGTATGTTCTCCACCACAATTACAGCATTTTATTTTAGCTTCTTTTCCACATTTACCATATTCATGTTCTCCTGCACACCTTCCACACCTCTGTTTCCCTTTACAAACTGCTGCAATGTGTCCGAATTTTTGACATTTGAAACATCTCAATGGTGGTGGATTGTAGATTTTGACATTGTAACTGATGTAACCGATGAATACTTTGCTTGGTAATTGCTCTTCCTCGAATTTAATTAGTACAGATAAACTGTCAGATCTTTCTCCGTTTCTTGTTGTTTTTAACCGTTTTACTTCTTTTACTTTTGCACCGCTTATGTTTTCCAGAATCTCTTTTTCAGAAATTTTCAGAGGAACTCCTCCAATGACTCCCCTGCTGATCTTTTTGTTCTCCATTAGGCTGCACTGAACTCTTATCCCGTCAATTTTGTTAATACGTATTGCTTTGCCTTGCTGGGCGCTGTCTCTGCAGTTAATTAGCAGGTCTCCACTGTACAGAATTCTGGCACCTCTGACTTCTCCAACAAGTTTATTGATGGTTTTTGTTAAGTGAACCGGATTCCAGTTTGTAAAAGAGTCTGCCTGATTAACGACTTTGAATATGACTTTGAATTCATTTTGTTGTGCTGTGGAATGTATGGATTGATCATCACTGGATTGTTCTGAACTAGATTCCCCTTTAACTGATCTCTGTTTTTTCCGCTTTTTCTCATTTTTTGATGCTGCTATCTTCCAACCTTCATTGTCACTATTTCCCTCTTCCATCCCACAAGAATCGCTTCCTGTTTCCTCACTACTCACGGCCCAGGACATTTCTCCACAAGCAGAGCAGCTTCAAAACACGCGCCATGCACCAAACGACCAACGTTCCTCCCACGTGACATTTGTTGCTCAAAACGCCCTCTAATACTGTTGCTAACTTAGCTTGTTTTTGACAAGCTCGAAAACAGTTGCTGGCTTTCCTCTTCCGCGCGCTGCTGCTCTCCAATCAGCCGATTGGCGTCCCTGTAAACCCTGTATCGCCTTTGATTGGACAATTCTTATGTCCATCATTTTTTCCTTGATCTCTATTGGCTCGTAGGTGAGCAAACGTAGCAACAAATATGTCCTGTTTTTACTTCGACGCTATCAAGAGGTATTGGGAGATTAACAAAACCAGATTGTGTTAAGTTATGTTTTGTTTTATAAAGAGCTGAATTTGGGTCTTTTCTTTTTACATGTGATATTAGCTGTATCTCCGTATTGGGGTTTGATTCCACAGTAACTGTTTGGGACAAGGATATAGAAGCTTATAAAAAGCTTGTCTATATGTAAATGCCGTTCAAGTCACCCCAATTAGTTGTCATGTTAAGCTACTTGCTTAATAGATCGTGATGCCCTGAAGTTGTCATGAAATCCAGGTAAGAATTAACGAATATATATGTACTTTTTAATTGTAAATTAAAGTTACTAAAAATGTGTTACATTTATTTTAGTGGATCCGTGTTTACCAGGCAGAATCCATTCCCACCTGCATCCAGGGTGAAGAGGGCACACTATCACCCATCATGCAAGCAGTCTCTCTCCCAAAAAGAGAAAAAAACAGTAGGTTTAAATTATATTGTTATATACATATCGTCTTTTAATTACAAACAGGAGTTTGAACTCCTGTATTTTTATAATTATTTTGGTGTGGAGAGCTTTAGACCTTCATCATTCATCTAGCTGTGCTTCTATAACTAGACCTCAGTCAATCAATTTACGTAATACATTGAATTTCAGTGAACATTGTTTGAACTTATTTTGGATTGGAATGAAAGTGTCTGATTTGATCTGCTTGTACCATTTCATTTGTTGTTTTTTTGTCTTAGACTCTGAGTCCTGTCAGGTTACATCAAAGTGACAATCATCCACCTCCCTCCCCAAACCGGAAACGCCATCAGCTAAATGAAGATTTAGGCTTTTCCACCAAAGATGGACAAAAAATGTTTACTGAGATCTGGCCCTCCATCGAAAGTGAATCATCTACTGACAGCAACCCGGACTGTCCTGAAATGTCCCCAGACAAACCATCTGTGAGGTTCAACACATCCACAGCCCCCTCTGGAGCAGAGGAGGATTCTGTGCTTGCTAAGTATGTTTGCCTGTGTTATTTCCCAGTGCCTTACAGAAGTATTTATATTCCTTTAATGTAGCTTTTCATGTTTCAACCACACATTTCAATGTATATTGCTGGAATTGCGATGTTAGACTAAAACATTTGAGTTCATGACTGTGAAGTAGGAGAACAAGATTTACAAAAAGAAATCGTTCTTGCTGCTGCTTACTCACATTTATACGTTTCTATGCAGAATAATTACAGTTGCAAGTCTTACAGCTTTGCACAAATTGAGACTGAAAATGTAATTTTTCATCTGAAAATACTTTATATTCCGATTGAATAGAGTCTGGTGAAAGATGAACTCCTTTTCTGTTATAGTATTTTGCAGCCTCTTCTGGCTTACCCTCCATTTAGCTCCATTTATATTTTTTATAATTTAATGAATGTTTTTTAGGATTAATAAGGAAGTATCACAACTGCCTGATGATGGTACTACCTCCGCCATTTTATATGACAGGAATGGTGTCGTCTCTCACCAAATTTTGTTCAGTTTTACTCTCATCTAAACAAAGCTTCTTCATATACGCACTTTTCATGTCCTCCATATGATCCCTACAAACTGCAAATAAGATTTCCTTAAAGCAATATTAATATTGGTCCTCTCAATAGATTCTTTCACCTGGCTTCAAATCTCTGCAGCTCATCTAGAGCAGGGATTCCCAAACTTTACCATGCCAAGGCCCCCCTACACCAGTACATTTTCAACTGAGGCCCCCCTAAAATGAAACATGCGTAAAAACTCATGTGTAAGCTACAGCGACAGGATTAAAAAATGAGTGAACAAACCACCTAAATAAAAACAAATTTATTTTGTAAAGATGAAGTCACAATTATATTTTATTAAACTTTAATTCATTAATTTAATGAATGAAATATAACAATAACATAGGCCCACCACTTTAATTTGAATAACCTTTTTTAAAAGATGAACCTCTTTATACCTTGCAAAAACAGAAAGATTTTTGAACAAAAAAAAAGTTTGTCCCAAATTAAACATGCAGGCATTTTATATAATGCAGGCCTAACAACAAATGTTGGCTACATGAGAGATGCATAGACATACCATGCTAATGGGAGCAGTGGGCCTGATGGCTTCTACAGTTTGTCCAGTCTGGGCTGGATGTCTGTCAGAGCAACACATATGTCATTCTCCACATTCAAACATGATCTGTGTTTAGTTTTCAGTGCTTTTAAAGTGGAAAAGCCAAGATTCACACAAGTAAGTGGTTGCCAATGGAAGGAGACATTTCAGAGCCCTCTCAGCTAGGGTGGGAAACTCTTGTCTTACATACAGCCAGAAAATATTATTTTTAAGCTTTAGGTGAATGGTGTTCATAATGCGGTTATACCCAGACAGGAATATTTTAATTATTTTTATTCAATAAAAATAATTTCATGTATACATTTTTTTTTTCTCCATCTTCCTGCGGCTCCCCTGGAGCACCCTGGTGGCCCCCCAGGGGGCGCAGCCACCACTTTGAAAACCAGGGATCTAGAGCATATGTGTGCCTCCTGAATGCTTCTCCTTTTGGTGCCTTTTAGTTGAGATTAACAACCACGCCTTGATAGTTTTCAAACTGTACCACTGAGTTTTAAAATTTCAACCAGGTGACAAATATTTAATGGTTCAAAAATACTTGAGTAAGTCAATCAAAAAGTAAATATGTATTTCTGGCACTTAGAAGTACTATTTACTGTTGTAGATACGTAGAACGTTTTCGTCATGGTCGACCTCGGAGTCGAGAGGAGCGCCAGCAAATGGCCTCCGCTGACGCAGAAGAACCGAGGCCATTATGGTGGATGGCTCACTCATCAGTCCCCAGTTTGGCCCCAACTCCATCATTAAACAAGGGTAAACTCCCTGTTATGGTATCTTTCTGTAAATTCAATTAAATGCCCGTTTTCCTCCAACAAACTAAATATTTACATTTCTCCCTGATTACTGATGTTCTCCGTTCCTAAAAGATGACTGTGATTCTTCGGCTTACAGTCCAGCTGAGTGGCCTCAACAGGAGACGTCCTTCAACGTGAGTAGCTTTTAGTATTTAACTGTAACACTGTGTAAGAAGATGTGCTTTGCCATCTAAACATAGAAAAATAATTTTGTTCCATTTTTTTCCTTGTATTTGTCATAATTGGAGGCGCACTGATCAGTTTCTCTTTTCTTTTGATTTCTGACCTTTCAGTTCAGATTTTGATATGTTCTAATTTATCGCTCTACTAGCCATGTGGAAGTTGAAAATGTGCTTCAGGTTCTTTAATAGAGGTAGAAGTTGTCGGAGCCAACAAAAATAAAAGAATTAAAATTGTTGCACTGATTATGCATTGCAGCTTGAGCTTCTAAGCTTTATTTAATTCTCTTTTTAACCAAAAAACAATCAATTTAATTGTTTTTATCCCTTTATTAACTAAAAATGTTGGGAGTTCTGATCATTGATGCATTTAATGAATAAAATAAATCAGATTTTACAGTATTCGGCCTGGCAATCATTGATTAGTGGATCGAGGGGAAATATTCTGGCTGTCATCTCATACTGGTTGATTTGTATCTCCATTAAAATGAGGGATGCATCATAGAGGTGGAGTGAGCGAACCATGATAGGAAGCCTCAGTCTTTGACCCATCTGTCTCAGGTTTAAATTCCCTCATGGAGATCTGTACCACATGCTATCCCCCATTCTCTCTCTGAATTTTTTACTGTATAATAATAACTCAACTTTAGTCATCTCACACTGGAGAAATTTACCTCTGCATTTAACCCATCCCCTTGGGGAGCAGTGGGCTGCCATTGTGTGGCACCCGGGGAGCAATGGGGAGTTAAGGGTCTTGTTCAGGGACCCAGGGTGCAGGCTGTGGGGATCGAACTGGATACTTGCTACCTTCTCAGAGCACAAGTGCACTGCTCTAACCACTAGGCCAACACTCCCTCTATAGCAACTATAGGTACTGATGATTAAAGGCCACTAAAACCAAAAAAGTGTAAAAGAAATAACTGCATTGATATTCTTCCTTTTTATTGTAAAGGTCCTTGTTGTAGGTGTTTAGGGAGATCTTTTCATAACGCTTTAAAATACACCCTTTAGTTTGCAGATGTCAAATATATCCTCCCTTAAAGCTATTTTGAAAAAACTGGTATATATGTTAGCAAGCCAGATAATTATCACGATTAGTTATCGTTTAGATGCTGCAGTGTTTTTTATTCTGCTTGTATTCACTCATACTGGTGTTCAGGATGACTGAATGTCGGGGCTTTTCTTCTTGTCTTTGTCCTTTAGGCTGCGTCTGATGCTTCTGAGGGAGAATTTGATGACAAAGAAATACTTCACCTTCAAGAAAGAGCAAGCAGACTTCTACTGGAAGGGTATGTAGTGCAGCAGGTATGATGAATGATAAGTGGATAATGAAAATAAAACGGTTATCTCTCCAACAGTGAATGTAGTCAAAGCGATGGATTTATCGCTGTCAGCTCAGATGGCCTTGGATGCTCCGATTTATCCTCTCCATTCAGTGTGGACGAGCCGGTGCGGCAACCTTTGGTCCCCATATTGAAAAGACCAACTGCTGGTGAGGCTAAAATGTGAAATAACCATCTTAATTTAATGATTATTTTCCATTTATATATTTTTTTGTTGATATAACTGGTAGTTGTGTTTAATACTGTAACTGTTACACTTCTGCTTGTTGTTTTTGCAGCAAACCTTATTCCAGACTCTGCATCCTTCCAGAAACCTGCCGTCCCTAGCATTGCACCGCCCACACGTCCAGAGGATGATATTTTATTCCAGTGGCGTTTACGGAGAAAAATGGAGCAGGCTAGAGATTGGTCTCAGTCCACAAAGACATCGGGGGTGTATGATTCTGCTATCAGCAGGCAGATCCCAAGTTTTGTCCCTGCATCAGCCAGTGGAGAGCCTGACAAGGTTGGACATAAAAGCACATGATGTATTTGTTGTTTTTTTATGAGTCACAAGTGAAGTAGCATGACTTTTCTCCCTCTTATCTAATCTGTAGCAGCAGTGGAGCTTTGAACCTCCTCAGTTCTCAGAAAGCGATCCACACATGTCTGCCCCCCCACCAGGGACCCACAGACCAGGTGCTTCAGCTCCAAACCCTCCACGCCTCATTTCTTCTGCTGTCCCCTCCTCTTCCTCTGCGATGTCTCAAACCAGGGCTCTTCCTCATGTTCCTGCTCACATGCATTTACTCTGCGATGTCCTTCCCTGCCCAAACCAGTCATTTGTACAAAACATGACGCAAAAAGTTTCTGAACCCCAAACCAAAGTTGTCCACCGAAAAACTCAGGTATCAGAAAGCTTATTGAGTACCAACTGCAATGGCTTTGTCAGAGAATGTTTGCCCTCATCTCCGCATGGAAACAGAAAGAAAGAGGGATATAGTCTGCAAAAAGTAGCAGATAAGAAAAAGAAGAAGAAACAGGAGACGGCAGAACCAGCTCAGAAGACGGGACTACCTTCCAGGCAGCAGAGGAAACCTGCAAGGTGATACATTGAAGTATTTATATAATTTACAACAGGTTGACTCAGGATGTAAGGTCCTGTAACTGCTGTGCGGCAGGTTCAAGCCGCCACTCCATCTGTGTGTGTCTTTGTGGCTTGGTCAGAGGATCTTTGTCAGAGGGCCAACAGGAAGTGAATGTATGCTGCATGTATTACAGAACATAGTGTAAAACGCCTTGGGCTCCTTAGATTGATAAAGGGCCCTGTTTAGGTACAGGCATGTACATGTATGCCTTGATCTCTATGCCTTCAATGGGTTCCTTCATTTCAACGTGGTATATTTCTGTTTGACCAATGGATTGTAGTCTATAAAAATCGCGAATCAAAGAAAAAAATAACTAAAATGGCAACAACAGAAGAAAAAATACTTACAGTAATAATTGTTTAGGTCTTTCTTTATTTAAATGATTTATGATGACCAATGCTGTCTGTTTTTATTTCCACTAAAATTATTGTTAACATAAATCTATACATAAAAAAAACAAAAAAAAACAAACAAATTCTTTGCAAAGACCGCCTACTGTCCGCATCAGTGATCTACTTCTGTTTTAAAAAGCTTTTTTCCATGTTTTCTCTGAAGTAATGTATTTTTTTCAAAGAAAATTCATCTGGGGTTTAAAAAGCTGCAAGTCTTCATGAGTACAATAAGATATATTTGTCTCGCTTTGTGCATTGAACCCATGTGTTTCACTTTTTTGAATTAATTTCCTGATATTAATGAAGTGGAAACAAGTATTCTGAATAATACCATTGCATCTGTATAAATATGAATACATTCAGTAGTTTAACTGGTGAACATTTTTATTTCTGTTCAATCAGGGATTCTCTCAATCCGACCCTTAAAAAAAAGACGTCATTTAAAGACGGAAGCGAGGAGGTTCCTGAGGAAAGCTGCACGGGGAGTCATGCACCGCCATCTTCTCCAGTTCACACTGCTTTGGGACAGGTAAAAAAAATCTGCAGAAGTACAGTTTAAATACTTGAGTATCTTATTTCAAGTTTTGTTTTTAGTTACATGCATACCTGCATATCTCGAAAGGAAGTTTATGGTTCTATGCTTACTGGAAGAAAATTTAATTATGTGTCCAAAATTTCTAGTAATGCAAGCAGATTTTTTTTTTTTGCAAAGTGCTTATGAAGGTTTGTGTCAATGATCCAGGTGATGATGTTCAAGGTCTCAATAGACATGACAGATTCAGGAACTGGTTTGCCATTTAATAATTAAATTTAAAGCTTTAGATATAGAAGGGGGAAAGTGTCAGCCTAGTGGTTAGAACATTCCGCTTGGAATCCAGAGGATCTCAGTTCAAGCCCCGCTCCCACAGACTGCCACTCTGGGTTCCTGAGCAAATCCCTTAACCCCACACTGCTCCCCGGGCGCTGCACAATGGCAGCTCACTGCTCCCCAAGGGAATGGGTTAAATGCAGATAGTGAATTTCGTTGCTCTGTACTTGTGACAATGTAATGACAATTAAAGCTGGGGGGAAAAAAGAAACTCCTCAAATTATCAAAAGTTTACATTTAATGTCCACTTGGGGGCACCATAGAGCAATTGAGGCTCCTCGATGCCTCAGGTCATGATGGATCATTTGGTTGAAAAGCCTCAGTCCTTTAACTCACCTTCTCTACTTGGTCACTCATTACTTAATATGATAGATATGAAACCCTGCATATGTTTAAAAGAGTTAAACAAAATAAATATCAGCTTTTGTAGTAATGAAGCATTGGTGTTCTTTCTGGGTTTTCACAGGTAGTTTCAGAGGTTTTGTTCCCGACGGGGCCTCAGAAGACTCCCCTTTCTTCAGTTTCTCCTCCAAAAATCATCTCACCTTCAGAGTCCCCCGTTCCTTTGTCCGTCACAGACAACTCGCTAGCTGTCATTTCACAGCTGCTACAAGAGGCTGAAGGTGAGCTCATGGTTTCATTATAGAGAGACAACAGCTGTGATATATTTTTACTCCATCTATTTCCAGCTGTGACTGTTTACAAGTAATGGGCAATTTCTCTTCCTCTGGGTTGTTATTTTGCATCAGACTCTGATGGAAAAGACTTTGAAGACGACCCTCTGTTACAAGTCCTCCGACGACAGAGAAAATGGGTGAAAGATCAGATCGGGTAATTCTAAACTACGTATTCAAGTCTCATTCAAATGAATGTTTCTGCCTTGATTTTTATATTCAATCATTTGGATATTTACTTTCTTTACAAATGTATGATATCATAATAATTTGAATCTTTCTTCTGTTAGAGAGGTGGATGTGATGTTGCAGGAATTCCTGGAGGAACAACCAGCTGCTTGAACAAATCAGACTGTTGCTTTTTGTAGTTTTATATCGAAATAAAGTTTATTTATACTATAGGATTTCAACTGTTTGGAATATTTCGATGTGCATTGATCACAATCACAATATAGTGCATTTACAAAAGTTGCTCAGAAGCCTAGCAGCTTTAACAGGAGGTTAGGGATATTTACAAAGAGTGGTTCCTTGAAATTCCATGTACAATTGATGAGCAACACCAGAGGAGTTCTGTATATACAAACCACAAAGTGCAGGGAATATCAGAGCAGTGCCAAAAACGGAACAAAACAAACGGGTGTTTCGGCACGCTGTGTGCTGTTAGGAGTACAGAGAGGATTTTAATCTGTATCCGTGTGTTTATGAGGGCTGCTGATCTTTGGATTTTCTTGCATGTTGAAGGTAGCAGAGAGGTCTATATTATGTCAGGCACCTGGTGTCTTCGCTCTGCAGCATCGGCGCTGAAATGATAAGAACGCCTTCAGGGGAGACTGCTGACTCCAGCGCCATGATGTTCACTCCCTTCGGGATTCTGTAGCGGCGGTTGAATTGCAGTGTTGTAAAGCCTTGGCCCTCCTACCCAGAGACAGGTACAGGTTTAGAAGATGAATCAATGTGGTTCTGTTCAAAATTTGAAATCAGGCTTCAATAGGAAAAAAAACATGGAAAAAAATTTAAAATATTTTAAAGGTCTGGAAGGAATGCAGAATATAAGCATGGAGAGCATGAGGATGTTGGTAAAAGCTTCATGCTTCCTTCTGTCCTTTTCTAGATTTATCTCCTTGCAGCCTTAATTCTTAAACACTTTACTCCTGTTCTTCCTTATGTCCTACTTCCCTTCATTCTCCCTTCTCTTCCAAATATCTTTCCTTTCTTATGTCCTTTTCTGTCCTCCCTTTTCTCCCTCCTTCCTTCCATCCTTCTGTCCTGTCTTGTCATTCGTACTTTATCCCCTTCCTTCAATCTTTCCTTCTATCCTTCCAAAACAAAGTTTCCACCAATAGAGATGTCTGCATAGCTTAGATTATAAGACTGCTCACCCTTACAAGTCGGATGGGAATGTGCAGAAAATATAAAAAAAACCCTGTCCTATTTCATAACAGAAGGATTTGGGAAACATTTTCTTTATTGTAATCACTTAACTCACACAATCAAAATGACACACTGAGAACATTTATTTTTCTTTAAACAAACCTTCAATTCTTTGTGTTTTCCTTGCACTTCCAAAAAGTCCCCCACAACTTTGACCAGCAGGTCCTCTGGGTTGAAATTCTTTACATCAACTTGAACTGTAAACCCAATGTCATCGCAGTAAACCTGTCGACACAAGTAGACATGATGTGACAAAGCTTCTCAAAGAAAATTGTTTCATTTGATCATAAGATGTTAAATTTTTGGAAGGCTTGACTGAATCAGTGTTCCTCTGAAAAGAATCAAATGTTAGGTTTGATTTAAAGAAGCTTAGCAGCAGATAATATAAATCTTAATAAGCTTTCATGCTTGTCTGAAAATCCTTTAAAATGTTTGGTTCTATTTAACTTAAGATTAAATGAAAGACCTACCTCTGCAGAACTGACATTATCAGCCTCTGGAACCAGTAATGATGGAGACCATTTATAATAACCATGAGACCCGTTCAGCCGAGGGGGTAGAACCCGCTCCCATGGAATACCACCAGTTGTTCTGGAGGGAGGCACGATAAAATCCATTTCTAGAATTTAAAAACTCAAATGTATCTGAAGAGTTCAGAGGAGTGTGATAAATGCTCAGAGACCAGCACCTTCCCTTGGTTTATAAATTCTCTGACCAAATAAGTGAGCAATAAGAGAAAGGCCAGCCCCTGTTGCTATGTTCCCGTGAGTCCCGAGTAGGAATGAGCTGTCCAGTTTCTGCTCCCCCTCTGTGTGCTTAACTTGACTGTCAGTCTTTTTTATACTGGAGTTACATAAGAAGTTGGGAATTCATACTGGGGGACCTTGCCTCAGTCACATTCCACACGATGTACCCTTGGGTGTCCAGGCACGGCCACCCACAGAGACGAGTGTGTTTTGGGAATGACACAGCTGTTGCTGGCTTATTGTCAATGAGTGGTTGCCTTTAGTCTTTAGTGTTTTTATTGGGTTGATGACATGGATATACACTTGTTTCATGTGTACTTATCAGAGCTGCTGTGGGTTAAGTTGGTTGTTGAGGAAGATCTTTCTAAAAATAAGTTCAAAAGAAGAGTGGATCCTAAACACATGTAGAAACACGTGCTCTGTGTCTAACACATCAAGTGTTATTTAACAGGTTGGGAAACATTTAATTAGGGAAATAAATTTAAGGAAAAGAAAAAAGAAGTAATACATTTAGTGACATTAAATGAAATGCTAAATTGGAATACTCCCTAAATTCTACAGCACTGGGTTGGCTTCCTGAAACATGGGAAGCACTGCATGTTCTGAACTCAGTTCTCCACACACATAGCAGATATGTGCACATGTTCTCTCTGGTAATAATGCTAAACATGGCACCTAAGCTTCAACTGTGACTATAAGTGGCCATGATTATGACTCAGAGAATGAGAGGCAATAGGGGACATTTGGAGGGATTAAGTTTGTGGGGTTTTATAATAGACACAATCTTGGCTTATAGACAACATAAAGGTAGGCAATTGTTTGGAACGCAAAAGATTAAATCTCAGTTATTAGGAGAAAGAACTGTGTTTATCGTAACACTAAAGGTTGATTGAATCATTTTATTTAGTATATGACAAACTCTAATAGAGTCTCCTAAATATAATTTTTAGTCATACTGATAACTGGCAAACTGGAATCCAGTTGTGGAAATGGGCTTTTATATGTGAGACTAGAAAAAACATGTTAAAATGTAAACACTCAAGACACATTGTAGCTTAAATGTATTTATTGGTCAAGAAAGAGTAAAAATCAGCTTGGGTGAACATTCAAAATCAAATTAGGAATCATTTTAAGAAAAAAAAAAGCAGTCTAATCTTTTTTTTTTATAGATATATAAACAAAATGCACACCTTTAACACTTTGTTAGCTCATACTGAAATCAAAGAATACGAAGAACCTATTAAAAAACAGACATTTCAGAGTGCTACAGTATCTACATTTTAAAGGTGATAAATCTCACAAGGACCAAAATCTTCCACTTTGATAAAGAGAAAACTCTTTGACTCGTCATAGTCGGCTGACGGACATCTCAAGGAGTGCCCAGTGGAATCGTGAATGAAAGGCGATCGCCAACCTCCCCCCACTGGGATCTGTAGTGTTGGTAAATCGTGATCCATGTTGTCAATACTGCGACCCAAAACGACAAACCCAGTGCCGAACGTTTCACATCTAGGAGAGACAACACATAAAGATGAGGTATTTTCATTAAAAATTCTAATTTGTAAAATTGCATTTAGGTCCAAATACAAAACATATTCTCCTTTATAATTTAGAATAAAACCCTTTGGCTTATAGCATTAGCAGATTCTTCAAAGTGCTGCTGATTGAAATCCATTTCTTTATCATTAATACTTTACCTTTTTTAAAGAGTGACATTAAGGATAATACATTTGTCATTAACACAGACAGCCAGTGTTTATGTAAAGTTAATTTAGAGAAATTTGAATTCAATGCTAATGTATAACGTATGAACCACTATTTAAAAATGGTGTATGATTTTACCAGTTAACCTGAGGCTGCTATTTTTAATCCACTGACTTAATTGGTGATTATTATGGAATAAAACCAACTATAAAATATTTAAACAGTTTAAGGCTATCAAATACTGATAAAAAAAATCTTTTGACTTGAGAGCCAAAGCCTGCGGAAGAAGATTAGGGCCACTGAAAAAAAAAAAAATTGACTGAATTTTAAATGTTATTTCAGTATTAGAAAAAAGTTGGAATTCTGAATTTAACCTCAGAATTCTGACTTAAATCTGAGATTTTTATTATTGTATTTCAGTATAATATGAGAAAAAAGTCAGAATTCTGACTTCAATCTGAGATTTTAAGTTTTATTTTAGTACAATATGAGAAAAAAAGTCTGAATGAATTCTCAGATTTCTGAGATTAAAGTCAGAATTCTTAGAAAAAAGTCAGAATTCTGACTTTTTTCCATATTAAACTGAAATAATATTTAAAAATCAATAAACTTTTTTTCTTTTTTCAGTGGCCCTAATCGTCTTCCGTAAAAGCTTTATAACGTCTTTACAAGGTTATTAATCGATTAAAAAAATACCTATCCTTGGCCTAATTAAAGAACCAACAGTACTCTGAGGAAAATTCCATCACTCTTGTTAATCAGTCAAACCTTAATCTGCAGAATAAAATAATTGATCATCACAGATCATCTCTGATCTCCTGGTGATCACATTTCAGGGAAACATTTGTTGACATTTTCTTAAATTAGGTATGCTTTAAGGCACTATAGTAATCTAAAACAAAGTAGCTACCCAATATCATTTCCTGTTTTTAACATTTAACCGTTTTAACATGCTGCTATTTTTACCATTTTAGTCACATATCAGTTTATACACTTACATGTTTTAATTAAGGTCTGTTCAGTGAAGGGTGGCTTAACAAAAGCTTCCTTAAAAAACCAAACAACGTTTACAAGCCACAGGAAAGGAAGAAGAGCAAAACCACCTGAAAACAAACAGAAAACATAAACACTTTAAGCCAGAGCAACTATAGTCATAAATATTCTTCGTGGACTTAACATATCATCCCTTCTCTCCGTTTCCATATTAGGAGAGCAAAATGGAAGTTACTGCAAGGGACGGTGTCTGAAGTGATTTAATTTCCTTCCTACCCAAGTAATATTTTCTACATAGGCTGAGCTTCTCCTCGTTGGGAAGTCTTTCCAGGTTCATGGTAAATTAAAAGTGGCTCTGTTGAAGGAAGAAATAAAGTTCCAGTTAGATTTTTAATGGTCGATCATCTTTGAAATAAATAAAGCTCGAGGAAAACATTAATACGTTGGCTACTTTCAAGCGATGATTTAGCGAAAAAAACAGCTGTACGAGAGAGTAAACATAATAAAAATACCAAAGAACGTTCGTAAAAAGCTTTAATCGTCGGTTAAAATAGCTTGAAATAGCTTCAGGCAACGTTAGCATGATGTAGCTATTGCTAAACTTGCTGCTACAAAAACTACGTTATCCGAGTTCTGGGCAGTTTGTTTGAAGTTATATTAAATATGTATAAGAATGTTTTGCATTTATGTTTCATACCTACGGTATTTCAGACTGACTCGAAAAAGGGAAACAAGAAAATAGAAGAACACTTCCTGGTCCGCCCCTCTTCTTCGTCTTTTTCCTTATTACCTTTCCCTGTGCCAAGCAGACAGAAGACGTCACAATAAATACTGCCACCTAGTGTACAGTTGAAAGAGGCACATGAGGGAGGTCACAGACAGACAGCTTGATAGATAACACATGAGACAAGGCTTTTGAAAGAAATGTACAAATAAAAGCATAAACCGCCATAAAATTAGGATCTTTTTCTTTTTTAAACGTTTTGTTTTGAGTACTCTCTGTAAAACAACTAAACCATCCTGCATACCCTCTGGATTTCTTCTTATATATATATATATATATATATATATATATATATATATATATATATATATATATATATATATATATCCACTAAATGTGTGACACTCGGTGTACTTTGAAGAAAATAACCGTACAAAACTTTAAATCCACGATATGTGTAAATTAGTAAAATAATGTCTTGATATGGTTCACATTTAGTTTAATATGGAAGAGGATTAGAGCCACTGAAAAAAGTTAACTGATTTTTTAAATTTATTTTAGTATAATATGAGAATAAAATCAGAATTCTGATTTTTATCTTAGAATTCTGGATCTTAATGCAGATGGGCACCATGAAGAAAGAGATGTGGGAGCACTCAGCTTCACTGACAATTATGTGAGTTGTTTGGGAGGAACAGTAACACATTGGTGGAAATTACGGAATTAGGCGACTTTTTACTTTCCAGAAGGGTCCCCGAAATTGATTAAAAAAGAGAGCTAGTTTAGTCTCTAAAACAGGAAGATGGCTTGATGTTAACATGTTTGTTAGCTGTCAGAATTTATAGTAAAAATTCCGAATTCTGAGAAAAAAAAGTCAGAATTCTGAAATTAAAGTCAGAATTATAAGGAAAAAAGTCAGAATTCTGAAATTAAAGTCAGAATTCTGATTTTAAAAAAAACTCCGAATTCTGAGATTAAGGTCAGAATTCTGAGAAAAAAGTCAGAATTCTGAGATTAAAGTCAGAATTCTGAGAAAAAAGTCAGAATTCTGAAATTGAAGTCAGAATTATGAGAGAGAAAAAAATCAGAATTCTGACTTGTTCTGCTATTATACTGAAATTAAATTTAGAAATCAGTAAATTTTTATTTTTAAAAAAATGTCAGTGGCCCGAATTCTCTTCTGTAGTTTAACAAACTAGTTAATGTATCATGCCGCCATCAGTTTTAATGTATTCTGTTTTATTGCTCCCATCATTATCTTTTTCAAATAACTTTTTTTTAATCTAAAATTAAAGTTGAATCTATGTATCTCAAATCTGTTGGAAATGTTAAAGTTCTTCCCTTTTACGTGTTTTACTCCATTGCTTGAGTATGACTCTCTCCTGAGTGACAAAAAACTCAGTTTCCCATGAGACACTACGGCTCCCCCCTCCCATCTCGCGCCTTCCCTCTTGTCTCCCCCTCAAACTGCTAGCCGTCGGTGTGTGTTGTTGTTCAAGCAATGATGGCGGCGGCAGCGGGATGCGGATCGGCAACCGCGGCTGCCGTAGGAGGCCAAGGTGGAAACGCTACGGCCAGAGGTCGTTTCCCCGGTCGGCCTTGGTCATCGCGGAGTCGTTTGCGATCCGAGAAGCGATGGCAACTCGGGCGTTCGAGCTCAGAAGCTGATGATGTGACTAACGGAGGGCCAAGGCCCGCAAACCTGGCTCTTTCGTTAAACGAAGACCAGTCTCACTTGCGCCTACTCGGGATAGAGGCAAGCCACAAGATCCTCGGCCAAGCTGGATACAGCTCTAGTGGAAGTGAAGAGGTAAGATCCTCATCGCGGAAGTGAGCGATTTATTCAAACTGGACACATTCACAGTGATCGCATAATGCGCAAGAATGAGTGCTCTCCACGGCTGTGTGACTGGTTAGTGCCATGGAGAAATGTCAACATCCCATTGGCAGGCTAGCTAACTTTAGCTTCAAGCTAATCGGTACATGTTAACCAGCGCTAGCCTACTTTAGCTTTCCATTAGAACACCCCGAGCACAAAATGTTACTAACTCAGACAGCAGACCCCTTTAAAGTCACCATTTAAAGTCAGTCTCACTTCTTCTCTACGGAATAAGAAAATACACGCGAAACATGGATAACATTTACATTTCAATAGTTGTACAGTGAGCTTTTGTAAACATGCGCCGCAGTTATTTTACGTATGGCCCTCTCTGTACAGGGCCTTGCTAATAGCCAACACAAAGAGCAGGAAGGCTAGCGCCTCTGCAGAGACTACATGCTAACTATTTTTGCCTAATGCTCCGCTAAAGTGTGTTTTAACTAGACACGTCTTGTGGTTGGCAAAGTATAAAGTTCATATAAAAATTTTTTGATAACATTTATAATAGGGGCCATAAAGGTTGTTAACTGTCAGAGGGGGAATAAATCGTTTCTGGCTAGCTGTTAGCCTAGCAAACAGGGCATGTTTAAATGGAGCGATAGAAGTGTGCCAAAGTCACTGCTCTACGTTTTGTTAAACTGAGAAGCAAACAGCAGCATTGTGTAGTAGATCTTCTATAAAGCTCAGCTGTAATATAACAAAGGTTATGTGTAGAGGGAGTTGTAGATTACATACTGTTTAATGTAGTTTTTTTTTTTATAAAATACTGTAGGCGTGACCATCATTAACTAAAACGTGTTTTTTTTTTACTTGGTAGTTACTCATTATGTGGTTTAAGGGATAGTTTGTGAGCTTGATTTGATAGTTTGACGTGCTTTGGAAAGTTGGAGTTGGTATGCAGAACGATGTAGTTCACAGAAAAGAAGTTGCCAGTGATAGAAAGTCACAGCTGCAGTGAGATCCTGCTATCTGCCATGCTGGTCAGTTTTGCCATTCAAACACACTTTTTCTTGGAACACTTTTTTTGTTTCCAGAACTTTAACTGTAAAGTAATGCTCTTATTTCTTAGAACTTTATATTAATATTCAGCCATATTACCAATAAAGTAACTATTCAGCTGCATGCATATTGACCTAATCATACTCCTGTAACCCCTAAAGGTTATAGACCCAAGTGTGCTCAGATGTCGCTGAATAAAAATCTCTTTTGCTGCACTATTTGTTTTCCCCTTGTGTCTCACAGATTACACCTGCGTACTGTTTGCAATACTAACAGCACTGTCTGTCTGTCCATGCATGCAACAGTATTCACTGAATCAGAGAAAATGGTTCTGCAGGTGCAAAAATTCAGAAATATTTTAATGCAACTCGTATTTTGCAGGTGTGTCTTGACAGTATAATAATAATTCTTTTTTTTTTTTTTTTTTTTTTTAACTTTAGTTTACCCAAAAAAGGCTTTGCTGCTAAACATACACATCAAGTGTGTACATTAACAGTATTTAGTGTCCATCCAGTTGCAGAAATGGGTAGTGTTACAGCCTGACACAAGTCCTTTACATTTGTGATTATGAACAAGACTATATTTTGATCATGATTCCAGTTCAAATGCATGGATGTAGGATATAGAAAACACTGCAAGATTATTCTAAGTACTGCTGAACAGAACAGGGAAAGACTATAAACGTTTTTAACAAGATGTTGGTGTTTAGAATCATGAAGGAATTCTTTTAAGTGTGGCAGTTAAAAGTATCTAAAACCCCCATCTCATTGCATCAAATACTTTTCTGCAGGATTCGCTTCTCCTGGATAAGCATCTCGTGCCAGGGTTCATTCGCTTGCGTTCTGTCATTGACTATTATATCAATTTCTCATACTGAAGATGCATGCAGAGACAGTGGAGAGGAAAAAAAGAGCTTTTTTACCAGGAAGAAACCTCCAGCAGAACTGACCTCAGTTTGAGCATTCTTCTGCCAAGCCTGACTGGGGGTTCAAGCAGACACACTAAGCGAACATAGAAGCACTGAACCATAAACACTTTCTTTTTTAGAGAATCTAAAGACAAACCATATCCATAGATAGGGTCTTTATTTGTAAGACGAGGTTAAGCAGAAGAGCTATGGATCAGTTTTCATGTATAGATTAATGGACATCCACATGCAGTTTGTCTAAATAAATACTGAGCCCATAGTTATGTATAAGAGAGAAACTGGACCGAACACTGAAAAACAGAGTCAGCTGTATCGTTTAAATGAAGGCGTTGAAGGCATCAGCCCAGCCAATCACTCCATCTTGGCTGGAATAACTGGATTGTTCTCATTCGGATGAGCATTGTTCTGATTTGAGTTTCTTTAACTCAGATAATTTCTTTAAATAATCTGCTTCTGGTTTGTGTGCTGCAGGATTACTGAATGGATGCATTTAAGAAACTGTATATATATATACTTGGATTCTTCAGTATTGTAATCTGGATTTTATTTCCCTGACTTTTGTTTCGATGAGTGTTAACCACTATTTTAGACCGTTATTTAGACAGAGAAACCACGCTTTGGCAAACTACGGTTTGCTCTCACACTTATTGTGTTGTTGTATTGATTATGTCTACATTATGCTTTCCAGTAATCTGACCTCTGGCGTGAAGAGGCAGAGTAAATGTCAGCGATCCTGTAGGAAAATACTCTGAGTGCTGGTGAAAATGCTGCTGCCAATGAGCATATCTGTAGCTTTAGTTGTTGGTCTCGGTTTAAATGTTGCCTGTGCAGCATTATTAACCATATATAGACAATTAATATTTTTCTTTTCTTTATATAAAGGGTGATGACTTCAAAGGATTTGAAGCTGACAAAAGAGGTTCTGCCGAATCTGCAATGCTGCAAAAAAATTCTTCCAAAGGTAAAAAGCTCATAACATGCTTATTAATATAGGAACATGGCTTACGTAGAAGATCAGACGGCTTCCTATTTAAATTGGATGTTACATTTTCTTTTCCTTTTGTAGGAGACACTGTCAGCACAAAATCTAGGAGAAAAAGTGAGAAGCCGCCACAAAAAGTGCCAGCAATTGATGAGGCTATCCCGCCTGACCCTGTAAAAGAAGAGAAAGCTGCGGAGGAAACACAGGACATATCTCTAGAAACAAAACCGGCGAGGGATTCAAAGAAGCCGTCAAAAGGAAAAAACACTATGGACCAGGGGTCAGCTAAAGGCAGAGCATCAGCTGCAGCCCCAAGGATTACTATTAAGTTGGTGGCCAAAAAGAAGGTGAAAACTTTAAAAGAGCCTCAGATAAAAGCGGATAGAAAGTTAAAACTGAAAGAAGCGCAGGACCAGCCCGATGTTGAGGACAATCAGGCTGATCAGATTTTAAGTGCTCATATCAAGTTGAAAACAGAGTCGTTCAGCGATGAACTCAGCCCCGGGGAGAAAGCACCAGCTACCGTACCTATGAGGAGGCGTGGGAGATCTGCTGTAAAGGTAGCAGAGCCTTTAAGCCAGACTACTGCCAAAGTTGTGGTTGGTGACCAAAAATCTAAAGAGAAGCAACCGACCAACATGGATAAGGAAAGCGGTTCTGCGAAGCAAAAACTGAACGCGAAGGATGTAAAGAAAAAGAGAGCTGCCCTGCCTCGGCGTTCTGGGGTTAGACTTGTTACCCGTAGAAGTGCGAGAGTTTCTACCCCCCTCTCTAAAAACACAACAGACGCTGTTTCTGAAACAGAAAGTCTGAGTAAACCTGCAACTGTTCAGCCCGAGTCCAAGACCGAAATCTCACAAAAAGCTCAAGCCAAACCAGCAGTGCGTAGAGAAGGACGACGGCAAAGCAGAAGATTAAATAAAGATATTACAGTACCAGAAAATCATGGCTCATTATCCACAGAACCGGACAATTTATCTGCACATGCCGGTGAAAGTGTGCCCATTAAAATCGAGGAAATGAGAGTCCCCAGCATAAAGTTAATAAAGATCAGAAACCCTAAATATGATGCACAAGCCAGTGGGAAGACTTTGTCTCGTAAGAAAAAACGGAAAAAATATATTTGGACTTTAGCATTGGTCGAATTAGGAAGTCCAACTGTGAGGGCAGAAGATAGCCTTAAAGTACCAACAGAGGCTGTTAGCAAAGAGGACCAGGCACCTCTTTGTGACACCAATGTTAAGAAAACCCCAAAGAGAAAGGGTAGAAAATCCAAAAAGGAAAGCACGGTTCCGCTTGAAAGCCAGAACAATGTTGAAAAGGATCCACAAAGCATGGCTGACTCTGAAACATCAAGTTTAAATGTGCAAGCTGAAGCAGATCCTACGCCTGAAACTCCCACGCAAGACACCTCCAAAGCAGATTGCGGGAAGGTACCACCTCTTCAGATTAAAAAAGTCTCTTCTCCCGGCAAACATAAAAGCTCTAAGCCGTCTTTTCTCATTCAGCAGGTTAGCCCTATACCTGAAAAGAAGGAGGAAAATATGAAGGATTTGCCAGAAGCTCAAGAGGAGATGTCTTCTTTACAGGATACTGAGGGCAGCCCGGTTAGGAGGCTAAGAAGGAGGGCATCAAGTCTTGAGTCACCGCAGAAGAAATGTGTCAGCCAGAAACCTTCAACCGTTCAGAAACGAAGGTTAAGGAAAAGTCCTCAAGAGAAAGAAATGCCACAGCTGAAAGCCGAAGTTTCTTCTCAGGTTTCCTCCGAAGAGTCCGCCCCTCAAATTCTTACAACAACCTCATGTCCTAATTTGGCCGAAGATCCCCCAGTGGCTACCAGTTTAAACCCCCCTGATATTCTAGAAAAGGAAACACCAAAAGTCCCAGATAGTCCACCACAAATGCAGGCTGAAGTTTCTCCACAGACACTGGAGAACAAGCCAGAGCCGCAGATTGAAGAGGCTCAGCCATTGACAGTGCCTTCCAAACCTAAAAAGCCCAGAACAAATAAGCAAGGCAAGAAAAAGAAGATGGGTCGAAAGCCGAAGGCTTTGGTTTTACCTGATGCCACCGTAGAGACGGCCCCCGACGCTGTTGAGGTTAACACGGAGCCCGCTCAGTTGGAAAATTTTCAGCCTTTAGTCGAAGAGGTGAGTCAGCCGGAGGGAGAGGAGAGAACAGAACCAGAGTCGGAGACCAAACAGGACTCCGTGTCAGTAGAAGTCCAAGAACAACCGGTACGCCCAACAGTAAAAGAAGAACCGGATATGCAGTCTATAGACAGTAAGCATTTGGAAGACGGGCAGCGGTTGGAAGACGGGCAGCGGTTGGAAAGCAGGCAGCGGTTGGAAGACGGGCAGCGGTTGGAAGACGGGCAGCGGTTGGAAGACGGGCAGCGGTTGGAAAGCAGGCAGCGGTTGGAAGACGGGCAGCGGTTGGAAGACAGGCAGCGGTTGGAAGACGGGCAGCGGTTGGAAAGCAGGCAGCGGTTGGAAGACGGGCAGCGGTTGGAAGAAGGGCAGCATTTGGAAGACGGGCAGCATTTGGAAGACGGGCAGCATTTGGAAGGCGGGCAACAGCTACACAGCCAGGAGATGGACAGTCAGCAGTTAGTGGTGTCTAAAAGTCAAACATTTGCTCAAACTATATCTAAGAAACCTTACAAAAAGCTAAAAAAGAAACGTAAAAACCTAATTGGTCAGCATCAAAAGCACAAGCACAGAGGCAGGGATGGGAAATTTGCTCCACTTACATCTCATGAAAGTCAAAGTTCCTTTGAGGCTAATGATAACAGTTCTCTGCTTCTGACAGGCCCCACTCCTCCCCACAGTGCGACGCTCATCGGAGTACAGAAAAAATACAAAAAGAAGCACACAGGCCTGCATTTTGTTGGAGCTAAAAAGTCAAAATCTCGGTCTAAAATCATTTCCAGCCTGATTGATATGGGAATGGACAAAGGTAGTTTAAAGCAAGAAGAAGCCGACACTCCAGTGGACACTGAACAGCATGATGTTGTGAATGCCCAGCCTTGCAAGTCAAAGTTTGTCAAAAACATCAAGCACTTTATCATGCCTGTGGTAAGTGCAAGGTCCTCCCGAGTGATCAAGACTCCACAGAGGTTCATGGATGACATCGGCATGTCTGTGTTGCCTCGAAGGCACTCTCCAAAGAAGGGTTTACAGCTGGGCTTGAACATTCGTCCAGGGAAGAGACGAGAGGATGGGCCTGAAAGGCCACTGTCTCCCATCTTTCCTATTGACGAGGACATTTTGAGCGAAGCTCAGCTGGATGTTGATCTGTTTTCAGCTCAGGACCTGGAGGACAGCATTGATTTAGCTGACAGCCTGTTTTTTGACTGTAAAAGTGAGAAAAACGAAAAGAAGTCTCCTCTAAAGAACGCTAGCTTCAAGTGGAATCTTCCTGAAGATCCCTGCGAGGAGTTATTTACACTGGATAAAAGCGCAGAGAGCAAATGTGAGGATCTGTTTTTATCTACCACAGCAGATAAGCTCCCAGAACCGTCTTCAGACCTCACAGAGGTTCTGAAAAAGAAGAGTCCGCCCAAATTTAACAAGCAGGCAGCTCACCTGAACATTTACCAGAGACTTAAAAAGCCTGTCTTAGGACTTCCAAAAAGCAAAATCACACAAGAGCTGGAACCTACGTGCAAACCCACTTTGCCTCCAGTTGATTTAGCAGAGGGACTCGACGATGAGGTCATGAGCATCAGTCTGAGACAGCGGGACACAAACGTAGAAAAGGAAAAGTCCAAGATAAAGATCGAAGACCTGGACAGTCCAGGGGTGGTTCGAAAGGTTTCTGTCTGCGTTCGGACTCCTCATTCCTACGCCGCTGCTTTGAAGCAATGTGAAGAGGAAGCATCAGCAGTAAAAGACTCAGCTTTAAGTGACTCAGGTAAGGCAGCAAAAATGATCTGAAATTATGCTGGTCAATGGTGAAAACAAAGGTGCTTCATGAGCAGGCGTTTTTTTTGTTGTTTTTAAAGGAGGGCTGTCGGTACAGAAATCACACGCAGCTGAAGGCGTTCCTCCTGGGCATACGGAGAGGGGAGCGCCACAAAGGCCACGCCTCACTAGTGCAAATAAACGGATGTTGAATCTCCTCAGGAAAGCAAAGGTTCAACTCATTAAAATTGACCAGCAGAAACAGCTAAAGTCATCTGGGGTGAGTTGAAAACTTAAGATTTTTTTTATTCAGAAATAGCTTTCTGATCTTGGTTGAGATGCTTTTTAGCAGCATCTCAACCAAAGGTAACAATACTTACTTAGACAAACTATATAGTCATCTTGTATACAGAGGGTGTATACAAAAGGAAATTTCATTTTGTACAGCTCTCATGACATTTCCATTTCTTAAAGTGCTGCAGTGATCAAATGTAAACGTTGGAAAATAAAAACATAGTGGAAAAAAAAAACATTAATACGGTCATTGATATTGTCAGGAATATTGTCAAGATGATTTATTCCAGTAATTCAACTCAAAAGGGAAACTTGTTTAGATTCATTAAGTACCGTGATGCATTTTAAACTTTAATTTTCGTGATTTTTATTTATTAGTGTCAAATTAATAATGTGTCTGACCCTCTTTGACCTAAAGCTAGTCGCAGCTGACACCTACCTTGTCTCCTCTAGAGATTCCACACACTAGCTGGGAATAGCTATCCCAATAAGGCTTACTACAGCAGATGGGATTTAAAATAAAAAATAAGAAACACATTAAAACATGAACCTACACTACTGACTCCAAGGATTTAGAAGAGATGGCTAAATCAAGGGGGATTAAGGATCTAGTTTAGAACAGAGACAGAAGCTCCGTCCCCTTTTTCTTTTAGGGAACAACAGTTTTTTTCCCCAAAGCCTTAAGACTATCTCAGTGGTATCTTAGAAGGGAGTTACATGAAGTAACCGTAAAACATCAAACCGGATCTCTGGGAGACAGTTAACCTGTGGTTCTGCTGAGGTGTGATGGAAGACCATGTAGCTTCTCTTATCGACTTTCAGGTCATAAGCATGTTGCAAATTTTAGGCAAACCTTTGAAATGTCAATTAAAGAAAATGCAAATTTTCATCTAGTGGAGCGGATTAACCAAGCAATGCAAATGTCATGTGTCGACGTTAACCTCGGTGGTAATAAACAGGAAATAGAATCAGAATTCCAGCTCTGACCGCAGATCAGCGATAGACAGAGGTTTTAAACAAATGTAACTATCTTGTTAGCTAGTACTAGTGATGGTATATATCAGCCAGAGTTGTCAAGAGAGAAATCCGTTTTTATCGCTTGCATTCAGAGACGCCAGCAGCAGGAACAGCTGATCAGTCAGTCATGTGAGTTAAATGTTTGCTATGTCAGAACGACTTATTCGACTAGTTTGTTTCAATTTCCTATTTAGTGCATTTGCTCTTTTTCAAAAAGACGTTAAACCTTTTTTGCATAATGTAGGCTAATGTAGGCAAGACTTTAATCTTGATCTGATCTTACTGGTCAGTAAAAAAATGTTGATGTTTGAGGCGAGCAGATTTGTGATACTACATTCATAGAAGCATATATCAGTACTTCGGGCAGTTCAGAAGGAAACCAAGTCCTGCTAGAAAATAACAGCCTCCCAAAAGTGGGAAACATTGAGTGCTTTTAAATTATTTGTTATACCTTTGGAATCAAGTAAACAAAGTGTACCAAAGCTCCTTTACTTTATCAATGACTGAGACTATGGCTAGTATTAACACTGCAGCCTGAAGTGACCCAAATCCGATGTTTTGGCCCATATGCGACCTGAATATGATCTTTTCATGGCAGTCTGAGCAACAGAGATCTGATTTTTTTCCAATGCGACCCAGGACACTTGGCTGTGTGATCCTAAATCCGATACGAATCTGATCTTTTTAAATGCGACCTGCATCTGAAAAGCCAGGTCGCGTTCATCTGACCTGAACGCCATTAATAACCGACAAAGGTCACTATTCTGGGTCTTGCTATGAAGAAGCGGCAAGAAAAACAAACACCATGGCGGACAATACAGAGAGCAGTATTTATGTTTAACGATCTTAAAAAGGTTGTGTTTTTATGTTTGTGGAAGTTCGCTAGATGCGCTCCAGCACTACCATCCATGTTTACTTCCGTAAACACAGAGCACGCTGGCCTATGACATCATCGCGTCCTCTACTGCGCATGCAGGACACTTGCGTTGTATGACTGCAGTTCACACAGGAGATCACATAGAAGTCGCATATATTTTGAAATGAGAACGGCAACGCAAAAGGAAACAGATTCCACAAAAATATCGGAATTGAGCATCAAGGCCGATACGTTTTTAGGTTTATCCTCCTTGTGGGCTGTCACTGACTTTCTACTGAACATCTGTTTTCAAAGCTGAGCTGTCAGAAACCCCGTGTGTTAAGGCCATAAAAGCATATAACTTTTATTGCTCATTGTTGATCTGAGGATCTGTCAAACAATTTTAGCTTAAACCATTAGCCCCTATCAAAATCAGCAGTTTTTAAACTGTGTTTGTAGGATTTAAATTGGTTCATCTCAGAGCTTTCTAGATTATTTCAGTTTAATCTAGTCATACCATAAAGCACAGTTACTTAATATTTTCTATATTCTCTGTATAAGCTCCTGTCATGGAGGAACCTCATATCCATGATGAAATCCAGTAAAGAAGTGTTTTTTTTCCTTCGCTTGAAGTGACGCCTGCCTGTTTGTTTACCTTGTAGCTGTTATCTGGCACCGCTGCTTCCCGATCCCAAGATATTGCCTCAAAAAGACATAGGAGGAAGCAGAGGGCGCAGGTTCCTCGTCCTCAGGTTCCTGTCAAGACAGAGCCACTTCAAGGACAAGTGAGTCCTTACGTCAATACACCGACATGGGAAGAGCATTGATCCGTCTTTAAAGCTACTAACGCTGTTGGTTCTCCCCACAGCCACAGCTCATCTCTCCATTGTGCCAGGAGTTCCGGCGAGCAGGCGGCCCACGTATCAAGCATGTGTGTCGCGCCGCCTCCGTCGTCCTGGGCCAGCCCCGAGCCATGGTACCTGATGACATTCCCCGACTGAGTGCCTTGCCGCTGCATGAAAGATCCGGCATTTCCCCGTCAGCTATCCCTAAAGGTTGTTATACTAATAGTCTGCATTCTTTTTTATTTTATTTTTCTATTAGATGCTTTCTTGAATGTTCCTGTGATGAATTGAATCTGGAAGAAAGTTTCTCCTCTTCGTTTTCTCTTTTTTGAGCCACATAAACTATATAATTAGAATGTCTTTTTTTTTTTTTTAAAGGAGATATTATTTTGATCTGAATTAAGATTAAACTAACATTGTTTGCTGGTTTTCAGAAAGCTGTCGATTCTCACCTCAGACTTTAACCCTGAACAGTGGCTTTTAAAAATAATTGTCAAAGATGAAATAAAACTAAAAAAATATAAATGTTAAAGAAATACCAACTCTAGTTATTCTTTCTTTTATTTCCAAAAAAATGTATCAAAACTAACAGAATGACTAATTGCTTTTTTTTTGTCATTGGGGTACAAACTATTAATTTTTTATCTACCTTTTTTATGGGGAATATTCAGATGAAAATGTAAAAAAATAGAAAATGAAACATCTAAGATTTATTTTATAACCCTATTAATATCTGTGTTATAGACTATAGGGCTTTAGGCTCAGATGCTATTTGCACAACTAATGAGAAAAGATGTCTCTTTAGATCATGCTGCTTGCTGAGCTGTTTGCTCTTGTTGCAGATATTGGGTCTCCATCAGAGTCAGACAGCCCCAGCCTATCGGATCCTAAGGCAACAAAGTCTAAAAAGCCGTCCAACTTTGGGAAGAAGAAAGGCCTCGGGCCGTTCGGATACCGCTCGCGGCGGTGTGGCATCTGCAAGGGCTGCAACCACGAGGAGGATTGTGGGAAGTGCATAAACTGCCTCGACAAGCCGAAGTTTGGTGGCCCTAACACTAAACGACAATGTTGTGTGTAAGTTCAACATAATGAGTACTTGTTGGATTATACAGCAGTGTTCAGAAAAAATAATTATTCTTTTGTCTTTCTTTAATCACAAGGTATAAGAGATGTGATCAGATTGAAGAGAGGAAAGCGCGCAGACTTAGCGGCAGAACAGCTCCCAAAAGTACTTTTTTGCTTTAATTTGCAACTAAATGTGTTCTCTACACTCTAGTGTGTAACAATGCTTGTTCAGCTATTTCATTTTGTTTGTCCTCTTTGACAAGGTTCGTCTAAGCGGAGGCGGTCCTCCTTCAGCGGGGGTTGTTCAAGCAATGACGAAGGCAACGAGGGTGGTGGGGACTCGCCATCTGGTCCCAACACAGACGGTCACAGTCCATCAGTAAGGAAGCAGCCAAAGCGCGTTGTGAAGCCACGCGTCTATTTTAACCTGATGGATTACGACTCAGACCTTGACAACAAAGCTTTATCGAGCTCTGCCTCACCAGCAAGAAGGAGGGGTGCTGGACATCGCTTCAACCAAGGTATTGGAAGAGTCAGGAAGCCATGGGCTTATAATACCCTCTAATGGTAGTACAGTAGTAGCCATTCAAACTTTCCCCATTTTTTTTGATGGGGCCTTGGCTTGTCCTTTAAAATTCCTTTTTAAACATCTATAATATTCCTTCTGTCATGATTTGAGGGCATTAAGATCTAAAGAGAAGCGTTATCTCCTGGTCAGACCCTGTAATTCAGTGAAAGGTTGTAGTCAGAGTAACAAAATATGCACACCCATGAGAAGGCCAGTGGCTGGAAGTTGAAGGGTATTTTGGTGTCATTTGGCTGCCATTCACCTGGCATTTGACTGGGAAAACCATTTTGAGTTGCTGCTACTATAACAGTTGATTATTGTCTGCTGTCCCGAAGACTTTGTCTCCCTGGACGGGTTCTTTGAAGACTTCTCAGATGATGAAGTCCGACACCGTAAATCCAGTTCACATCGGGTACCACAGAGTCGACGGAAACCTGAGAAGGTGAGTAAAGATGATCCAAACTCTCAGTTAAACTCTGATTGGACTGGATAGCAGTTTTGGAATCTTCATCAAGATAAAAACTAGATAAGCTGTTTTAAAGGCCAAAGTTAAGCCACCAAAGGGCAAACTTGTGAACACATATTTCGAAATTGTTAATGAACAATCATGCCTTGTAATGTGTCTGCTAACTAGGGCTGCAACAACGAATCGATAAAAATCTATTTTTAAAAGCATTGGCAACGAATTTTAACATCGATTAGTTGTGTCGCGCGATTAATGCGTCATCCGCGGCTGCCGTCATCACATCCACTTGACTGAAACGGGGGAAGAAAAAAAAAATACGGCAGAGCGAGCCAGCGCCGCTGGTGCAGTGTTGCCAGCTCAGCGACTTTTCAGACCCCTCCAGCGACTATTTTTCAAAAAAGCGACTAGCGACAAATCTGGCGACTTTTTACGGTGTCACTGGCGGCTTTTGGAGATTCTTACGTGAAAGCATGTATCGTTCCTACTCTGCCGTGGGGCGCCTCCCCCATCCCAACCCCGTTCTTCCACAGGAGTCCCTCTCAGCGCTTCAGTCAGAGCCGCAGGATGTTTACCCTCAGCGTCCAGACTGCAAATGAAGCGTGCATGCGCCGGGATTGACGGCGCAAATTGATCACAATAATTAAAATAGCCTGCGCTTTGTAAAGTGGAAAAAGTCGTAACATGCAACTTTTGTCAAAACAAATTAACATGGCACGGAACCACCATGTTTTACTTCGTTTTAAAGCGGGGAAACGTAACGTTAGTTTCTCAGGTAGCTCATCTGATGCTTTCCTTACCGTGTTAGTAGGTTACAGACAGTGATAAGGTTGGCTACTTATTTTACTTTTAATTTCAATTGAATTAGCTTAAGCAGCGTTTATATTTACTTTATAAATAAATTAACTTGCAAATTATGAGGGCAAGGCTTTTAAAGTTTAAATCTTCTGGCAAAGATAGAGTAAAGATCCTGCAATTTATGGAAGTAAAGCAGAATAAAATCCAGCAAGATCAGTAATATGTCAATTAATTATATGCCACATTCCCATGTAAATATCTGTCTTTAGAGGATGTGTTTTTTAGCACCCCTAGTTCTCTCATTTTTATTCCAAATAAAATTTATAATTTGAATCACAGGGATATTTTTATCTCTATGGTTAAGTATTTTCTCAAGTAGCAACTTTAACTGCTATTCTTTCCTTTCTTAAAAGGCAGAACTCTTCTAGTCTAAAAAAAACTAATTTGTTGAAATGGGGGGACCTATTGTTTGAACCCCTTAGGGGCTTTTAAAAACAAAAATGTCTATTTTTGAGCTTTATGAAACAAAGTACCCTATATTTTGTGGATGTACAGCTAAATTTCTCATGTAAGTTTGCGTAGTTTTAACACAAACATTTATTTTTCATATTGCACCAGTACAGTTAATGAGCAACCTGTACTTGTGTGCTTGCTTGTTCTGTCTAAAATGTTTATTTTGGAATAAAGAGGTTAATATAAAAAATATTTTTTGTCCGATTCATCGATTAATCGAAAAAATAATCAGCCGATCCATCGATTTTAAAAATAATCGTTAGTTGCAGCCCTACTGCTAACAAAACGTTTCTGCATGTCTTTAACCTTCTGGCCATATATTTGTCTTTATTATATACAAGTTTTCTTAAAAAGAAAAAAAAGAGCTAAGCATCCTTACCCGTTTTATTTAACTTCTACTTTGTCTCAGTTAATGTTGGCTTTGTCTTGCAGGCGCTTCCATCTCAGGTTCCCTTGGAGCAAACCCCCCCCAGTGTCCTTGCTGCCCTTGCTCATGGGTTTGAGCAGCGGGAAGTCGAGTCTTCTAAACCAACTCACAAACTCAGGGTGGACTTCAAAGTAAGACAAGGCTCTTCTAGTAACACAGATTGGTTGGATTTGAAAAAAAATCATTTTGTGGTTGCCATGTTTAATCAGCATGTCTTCCACCTAAAGTGCTACAGCATTAAAAAGAAAATAAATAAGTGTTTCTCTGTAAATTAGAAGTTGGTTGAAAAGTCTTGTTTGGTAACTTGATTCAAAAAAGTAAATTAATTAATCAAAAATCTATATTTTGGGGTTTTATTTAAACTCAAGACCGAATAAAACCCAAATGTGAGTTTAGTTAATGTTTCTTTAGAGTAAGAACTAAAAATAAAAACATTATTGCAGACCACTGAAAGGTTTATCTATGTATAGAAGAACACACTGCATAAAAATTAACTGAAAGTATAAAAGTTTAGAAATAAATGTATTTGCATTTTATAAGAGTAGATATATTATTTCAAGGTCATTATCCTTTTTCAGAAGAAATACATTTTCTATCGGCAGATAATTTTCTTACCTGCTCAAATCAAGGGGAAACACAATTCAACACATTTTAGCTTTAGATCAGTTTTGCAGTGGAGATGATCTCAGTACTTGGTTTGGGCTCCTTCTGTGTGAATAACTGCATGAATGCAGCATGACATGGATGATTTCAGCCTCTGCCTTGAACTAAACTGTTCATAATTTGTTTGTAATGGTATGCATGCCTACATGTTATGAAATCTGGCGTACCATAAAGAATAAATTATGAACAGTTTAGTTTGTGCCTTCAACTCGTTTGCTCATAGGAAGACGTTATTTGGATATAAATTAATGGAATATCTTTAGAACGGCTCCAAATGACACAAAACTCATATAGGTGAGTAGAACATGATTTAATAATGTAAAATCAAGGGCCAAATGTAAAAAAAAAACTACGTTCCCCTTTAAAGTTACCAAACTCAATAGAGTTCTATGCAGTTTATGGCCAGCAGGGGTCAGGGTTTTGTTAGAAATTCCCTAATCAGATAATCGTACTTTATTCTACTCAAAATAAAATCTGAGGGTTGTATATTAGTTGTGCGGAACCATTGAGAAAAACATTTTATCCTTTGCTGATAAGTAAAAAAGTCAAACATACATTTTTCTAAATACAAAAAAAGTGTTATTTTCTCATCACAGAGGTGGGTTAGTGGAAAGAGCTACTGTAAATGTTGGGGTTTATTTTCTTATTTTCAGGAGGACTGTACTTTGGAGAATGTCTGGAATATGGGTGGTTTGAGTATTCTGACCTCTGCACCTGTCATGCCGCCCTACGTGTGCTTCCTTTGCGCCAGTAAAGGACAACATGAGGTGAATACCTGAGGCCTTTCTATGTGTCTGAGACCTTGCTCTGCCTCGGATCAACTTTAGATCAGTTCCTGGTTCTTTTTTTTTTCCTTTATGTTCCCGTCTTCTCGATTTCTCATCCACAATACCTCAGATCATACTCTATGATCCTATTTTCTTCTTATATGTATTTATTTTAGGATATTTTTTTGTATTTTTGCTATTCAACTATTTTTACTTTAATTTCCTGGTATTTTGGTGTCTTATCTCTGTGTGCATGAAAACAATTTATTAAAACAAAACATAATTTCATTATCAGGTTTACTTTTTGTACATAAATCTTGCCCTTCTGAAGCTTTATGAAGGCAATTCTGTGTTTTGCATGGTCCAATATGGTGTCACAAACCTAAAAAAAACTATGTACAATGCTAATAATGGAAAAGCTATTAGTCAGCTTCATATTTTTTAAATATATAAAAACTATTTGTTTTCTGACAATGTGTTTATTTATGAGCAATTATGCAAATTAACAAACATCTAGAAAAAGTAAACTATATTATATTATTTTCCATGTGAATCCATGTGAATTGTTTATTCTTCTTTGCCTTTTCTACAAAGTGCGTTAGATCAGTCCTACCTGTCTTTATCCGTGCTGGGTCAGATTTTTGAGTTTGAAAACGGAGGCAGGAAAAGCAAAATAAAGCTACATACAGTTAGCCAAGCCTTCTTGCTAAACCAGGTCCTGGAAAAGGACGTTTCTTGCACATTTTCTCTCTCCCTCTCTCTCCAATGCGTCCCCAACTCCTGCGACTTGACTTGTCAATCACCCGCAAAACATCTGCCCTGTAGCGTGAGGTGGTGAGCGTATGCACTTCCTGTCCCGAGCTGTGCCCTGAGCTCTCCTAAATCTTTGTATAGCAGAGGAGCTACTGTGCATGTACAACTTTTACGAGAGTCAAAGGGCAAAGATTTTTGCGCCCTAGGGCGGAAATACGTCACCAATCCGATAAAAAAGGAATGAGGCTTTACTAGTCATTAAAGATTGAATATTTATCTTATAGATTAAAAAAAAAATGTAGATATATTTCGAAATATTTTACATTTTAATGTAAAGTTAAATTATCATATATATATATTATTTTTAATCTCTTAATTACGGTCATTGGGTATGGGGCGGCGCCCTCTTTTGGTCAGCCACCGCTGATTTAAACCTTTCCTTTCTAGCACATTTGTATCCCATATTTCAGATATGGACTTTACTTTATATAACTAAATTTGCAAAGGGGCAAGGAGTCAACCTCTATGTCCATTAATGAATCCATGATGTCATGTCTGAAGTAACCTGTTTTAAATTTACAGATGCTCTACTGCCAAGTATGCTGCGAACCCTTCCACCAGTTTTGCCTAGACCCTGCTGACCGCCCCTCAGAGGAAAATAAAGAAAATTGGTGCTGTCGACGCTGCAAGTTTTGTCATGTTTGTGGAGGGAAAAACAGACTCTCCAAGGTAGCAAAGGATAAACTTCCTTATTTTAGCTGCTAAAAACAGAAATGCAGAACAGCTTATAATTGTTTCCCCCTTTCTAACTTTGCTTTTGTCAGCCTTTATTGGAGTGTGAACGATGCCAAAACTGTTATCATGCTTCCTGCTTGGGACCAAACTATCCAAGGCAAAACAAGAAAAGGAAAGCCTGGGTTAGTATTCCCAGAAATGTTTTTGATCGTTCTATTATGCTTAATTATCTGGCTGAAAGGGATGTTCTTTTGCAGGTTTGTACAACATGCATCCGGTGCAAAAGCTGTGGTGTGACACCAGGAAAGACCTGGGACACGGACTGGAACCATGACAAAGGCCTTTGTCCAGACTGTTCAATCCTGTTTGACCAGGGTGAGTGGAGATTTAAGCTCTGCCACTTCATGGCCTCATTACTGACTTGACTGCTACCTCTTGTATTAATTTATATAAATTTATAATTTTTCATTTATTAACTTTTTTTTTTCCCTTAGGTAATTATTGTCCAATCTGCTTCAAATGTTATGAAGACAATGACTACGATAGCCAGATGATGCAGTGCGGCTCATGCAACCACTGGGTACATGCCAGGTGTGAGGATCTAACAGGTGATTGTTAATTGATGGCTTTAATGATACTCCCAAATGCAGTGCTTTGCACAGTTATATCTACAGGTCCTTCTCAAAATATTAGCAAATTGTGATAAAGTTCATTATTTTCCATAATGTAATGATAAAACTTGAACATTCATATATTTTAGATTCATTGCACACTAGCTGAAATATTTCAGGTCTTTTATTGTCTTAATACGGATGGTTTTGGCATACACAAAATTAGCACATCATGAAAAGGGTCTCTAAATGAGCTATGCACCTAATCATCTGAATCAACAAATTAACTCTAAACACCTGCAAATGATTCCTGAGGCCTTTAAAACTCCCAGCCTGGTTCATCACTCAAAACTCCAATCATGGGTAACCCTGCCAACCTGACTGCTGTCCAGAAGGCCATCATTGACGCCATCAAGCAAGAGGACATGACACAGAAAGATATTTCTGAACGAATAGGCTGTTCCTAGAGTGCTGAATCAAGGCGCCACAGTGGGAAGGAAAAGGTGTGGCAGAAAATGCTGCACAACAAGAAGAGGTGACCGGACCCTGACCAAGATTGTGGAGAAGGGCCAATTCTAGAACTTGGGGGACCTGCGGAAGCAGTGGACTGAGTCTGGAGTAGAAACATCCGGAGCTCACCGTGCACAGGCGTGTGCAGGAAATGGGCTACAGGCGCCGCATTTCCCAGGTCAAGCCACTTTTGAACCAGAAACAGCAGCAGAGGCGCCTGACCTGGGCTACATAGAAGCAGCACTGGACTGTTGCTCAGTTTTACTTGTTATTTGGAAATCAAGGTGCCAGAGTCTGGAGGAAGACTGGGGAGAAGGAAATGCCAGAAGTCCAGTGTCAAGTACCCACAGTCAGTGATGGTGTGGGGTGCCATGTCAGCTGCTGGTGTTGGTCCACTGTGTTTTATCAAGGGCAGGGTCAATGCAGCGAGCTATCAGGAGATTTTGGAGCACTTCATGCTTCCATCTGGTGAAAAGCTTTATGGAGATGAAGATTTCATTTTTTAGCACGACCTGGCACCTGCTCACAGTAAATGCTTTACTGACGATGGTGTCACTTTGCTCAACTGGCCTGCCTACTCTCCTGACCTAAACCCCATAGAGATTCTGTGGGATATTGTGAAGAGAAAGTTGAGAGACATAAGACCCAACACTGTGGATGAGCTAAAGGCCGCTATCGAAGCATCCTGGGCCTCAATAACACCTCAGCCGTGCCACAGGCTGATTGCCTTCATGCAACGCCGCATTGAAGCAGTAATTTCTGCTAAAGAGATGAATGTTTGAATGAAGTTTTATCATTACATTAGTTTTATCATTACATTATGGAAAATAATGAACTTTATCACAGTGTGCTAATATTTTGAGAAGGACCTGTATATCCTTTGAACTACTTCATATTCTATCATGTCAAACCCACAAACTTCAACTAGTTGAACTGAGATTGTGTTATGGACATGTAATCTCATACTATGATTTTTTTACAAATTAGACATTGAAATCCCTTTACTAATGTTAGAGCCTCATTCCTTTTAAGGGGCAAACAAAAAAAATGAACAAATGAAAAAAAACAAAACAAAAAAAACAGCAAATTAGCATCATGTGAGCTAACGCTGCTGAATGCAATAATGAATCAGCAAACACATTCACCTGTCAGCTGACGCAAGAACTAAATGCTGGCCAATGTATTGGGCCATCTCTGCTGTAAAGATAAGATTTTCAGGTCTCAACATATTCTCTAACGGATTTGAGTTTGAGTAGGATATCTCAAGACTTTGTAGTAGTGATAAAACATGCATTTGATTCGAGCTGAACCATATTGCAGCTCTGTATCTCTGCAGCTTCTCCAGAATTATTATAGGACTGTTAGCAGCTCAGCCTGTCGGTTTAGGTGGACAGCCTGATAAGCTGTCAGTGGTACCAAAGCATTTCCTGTTTCACATTAGGTTTTAGATGTTGTTTGCTTGCGTTATTTAATTGCCTGACCTTGCTTGGATTGATCTCTGTTTGGTGCCTTGTAGAAAGTGTTTATATCTCTTTAAACTTCTTCACTTTATGAATCTTATCCCAGCATTGAAATTTGTATGTTGCTGTCGAACGCTTTCAGATGAGCTGTATGAGATCCTGTCCAGCCTGCCTGAAAGCGTGGTGTATTCATGCCGGCCATGCAGTGTGACCCAACCGAGCGCCTGGAGGGAGCTGCTTTACATCGAGCTCAGAGCTGGGGTGGAGAAGGTGTTGGCATGCCTGCTCTCCTCCACTCTCACACAGCATCTTGTCACATGCTCACAGGTATAAAGAAAGCTCAACACCTTTATTTATAAAAACGTATGCCATGGAGACTTTTTTTTTTTTCATATGTGTAGTATGTTTGATGATGATGTAAATTGTGCAAGACATTGTTGTGGTTCTCTTGAAAAAAGGATTAATTTGTTTGGATAGATGAATATTAGCAGAAACTGAAGTCTGAATTGGTTTCATTTGTATTTTGGTTTCTGCTTCAGTGTGAAAAGCTGGTCGATCCTGACAGTGTGGTTGAAAACCAGCCAGCCTGTGACCTCCGAGCTGTTGGCAAAAAGTTTGACAAAGGCCTCTACACCACCCTGGTAAGTACAACATTCCTTGTATCTGTTGGACAATGAAATGTATGATGTAAATGTAGATGTAATTTGGCAAAAATTTCTAGATGAGGAAGAGGTGTTGTTCCTCTTCTTAAAAGTCTTCTTTAACCGATCTATTTCAACGTGACCTTTAGACTTGACATATCAGATGTTTATGTTAATGTTGAATTGCAGAACCTATTGAAAATGTTCTGTGTAATATATAAGCTGCTTATAGAACCGTTGCTGGCACCCTTAACTTCCTCTGTAGGAGCTCTCACACGTCAGCACTTCACCTTTATGTTATATATTTTTTCTGTCTTGTGGTTTATGTCACAAGCTGCGGCCTTGCTGTTATTTTCTGACTCAAAGAAGCATCTTTTCAAGACAACCTTTTCCTTTGCTTTGTCAGGAGATTGCACTTTGGTTTTACTAAGTGAAGTATGTCATGTCTGAGATGGATGATTCAGAGATATTTTTGTGACTAACTTGTTATGTGGAAGATTCCAGTATAGCAACATCTCGTTATTTCACATAGAACCTCTTCTTTTGGGCATGAATTGACAAAGATAATCTATTCGTCATAGGCTTTGCCATAGGAACTCACAATGTTTTTCCTCATGATTTTCCCACTTCTTGCTCTTCCTTTTTGGCTGGTTCCCTTTTTTGCTGACTATAAGCAGCGCAATGTCTACTACTGTATTCATTGATGTCAGTTGGAAACTACAATGTGATCACACAATACATGCAATCATTCACACTGTCGGGTTTTTTATATTGAGAAAGGTTACTGTAGGTGGTTTTACTATTGTCATCTGTGTGAAAGCTTCGACCACTCAGAGGATTACTTCCCCATTCCCAACAAGCTCATAGTAATAGCTGTCTAGTATAAGGAAGGAAACTGTAACTGACATTACCTGATATCTGAAAGTCATGATCCGTGGCTAAATCAATAATCCTGTTCTTGTCTTTTTTAGAAAATGTTCCATGAAGATGTGGTTCAAGTGATACGAAAAAGACTTGAGCAGGAAGACCATCTCCCAGAGGAGCAGAGGCCCACTGCTCTGGCTCGCTCTTACTACCTAAAGGTACTGCATGGCCAAAGGATGCAGAACTCCCTTCATTTGACCTAATTTATACCCATAGATGGGCTTTTTTACACCTAAAGTTTAGTGAAATTGGGAATGAAAAAAAAAAATTGTGAGTAAATTTGGGTTGAAATTCAACATTTTTTTTTGTTGGATAATTTTTTTTTCTTTTTTAGCTTCTGGAAGAGGTTTTTAACTGGTTTAACAGCCAAGACCCAAAGCTGTGGAACCTTTCTGCCAAAGACTTAACACCGTGAGTTGTGATAATCTTTTAAAAGTTTGACAGTGTTCACAAATTGCAAAATGACAGTATTCCCCAGCCTCATGTGTTTTTGCATGTTTATCACAAGAAAAGAAATATGCTGCAAATGATAATCCAAGTCTTTATGGTCTCTGTTTAGAGGTATGCTGTCGACTGCTGTTCATCCTCCCACAACGGAACATGTTTACGCTCAGTGGCAGGAGAGGAAGGAGCTGCTGTCCCGGCCCCCGCTGGGCCTCCTTCAGGATGACAACGGACTACAAACACTGGATATAAAAGAGGAGGACGCGGCTTCTCCAATGTCAGGGGACTCACTGAGCCGAAACCACTTCAAAAATAGCCGGACAGCCAAACTCAAAGGCAACCCTGTTCTTTTAATATCATGGTGGGAGGCTCTGTGGGGGTTAGTGACTAAAGATGCTTACTTTAATCTTTCTTTGCTGCTGCTGCTGTTGTTGCAGGAAAAAGAGGCAGACTTTCAAAAGCTGACTTGGACACTGGGTGGTCCAAAGAGGATGAAAGGCAGTGCTCCTTGTGTCAGAAATATGGAGATCTCAAACCCAATGTAGGAAATCCAGTAACAGAAACATGGTTTCTTCCAACCACCCTAGCAGTGTTAACTCTTTTCTTTGACTCTGCAGGAAGCAGGAAGACTTCTCTACCTTGGCCAGAATGAGTGGGCACACGTCAACTGCTGTTTGTGGTCTGCTGAGGTCTTTGAAGAAGATAATGGCTCCTTGTTACATGTACACAGCGCTGTGACAAGGGGGCGGCTGATGGTCAGTGAAAAGATATTCTATTGCTAAATCCGCTAAAGTACATAAGTAGAAACCTGCGCTTTTTTGCAGACCAGCACAGAGAGTTCGGATATTCATATGCAACCTTCAACTGTTTGCTGCTCAGGACTCAGATTTCTGCTTGTTTCTCCACAATTTCTTTTACAACCTTATCAGCGATGCGAGCGCTGTAATCAGACTGGTGCCACCGTGGGCTGCTGTTTGACATCTTGTCAAAGCAACTACCATTTCATGTGTGCCCGTTCGCGACAGTGTGTGTTCCAGGATGATAAAAAGGTCTACTGCCACAAACACAGACATCTCATTAGTGGAAGGGTAAGTTCTGGTCCTCTGTTGGATGTAGAAACCATGTGGATCTGGGATTTAAGTGAACTTCCCTTTGTTTTCCAGATGATAACTGGTCAGGAGTTTGAAGTAAACCGCAGAGTCTATGTGGACTTTGAAGGGATCAGCCTTCGCAGAAAGTTCCTCACTGGACTAGAGCCAGAACTGATCAATGTTATGATTGGTATATTGTTTATCTCATACTTGATGGAAAACTTTCTCTTTGCTTTTTTCTGCTAATTTGCCCTAATAATTGGTATTCTTGGCTTTGCTTCATAGGTTCGTTGCAGATTGAAAAGTTGGGTATGCTGTCTGAGCTTTCAGCTAGCAAAGGCAAACTGTTTCCTGTTGGGTTTCAGTAAGTAGTGGGTTATTTTTGTATTAAGAAACAAATTATTTATAAAGTATGTTGTATCCAAATATAGACAATGAATCAAATAAAATCATGCATTTTAATTGCCGTATATTCCGGACTATAGAGCGCACCTCACCACTAGCCACGACCACAAATTTTCTTTTTTCTTAAATTTAAATTTGCATACATAGGCCGCACTGTGCTGGCTATAAGCAGCTGAACTGTCTCCACGCCAAACCTGTAGGGGGAGCTCTACATTTATCCCATGGAGTAGGGAAGAAGAAGAACGCTAGCTCTTGTTAGCTTGTTTGCTCGCAGTAACAACATCTGAAAGACGGGGCTTCATCAGCTCTTTATTTCAGCTCTGCAGGAGTTGAGCCCGGCCTCTTCATTAGTTTGGCAGCTTTAATGCGGGAAATAAATGTCAAAATGTGTGAATTCAGGACATTTTTTTCTCTGCTGTGCCTGCTGCTAGCATGTTCTTGTGCTACAAGAAAATTAGCCACTTATTCTTTCATTTCCAACTTTGACTCCCCGCTCTGGCAGTTAGGAAAAATCTGCAGAAAAGCCGCACCTTATTATAGGCCGCGTGATTCAAAGTGTGGGGTAAAAAGCGCCGGCTTATAGTCTGGAAAACAGGGTATTTAAAATCAAAATGTTCATGCAATTCAAAAGCTGAAACTTCCATATTAACATGAAAGTAGTTGGTTTTTATCGACTTATTAAATTTTGCGTTTTATTCTGATATAATGTGGTTATAACTTGTGAATGTGAACATTTCCACTGATGTGGACAATAACATTAACCTACTTTATTATTACAGAGAATCATATATTTCAAGCTTTTTTCTTTTTTTTTCTCCTATAGTTTGCATCATTTTGTCATAACTAAGGAGTTTTAATCCAGAAAGGAGAACCCTATCCCCAGCAGTCATGGGGATCACAGCTGACTTGAGTGTTTTCCGGCTGACAATGACTAACTCCTTCACAAGGAGCATAGAACACACTACCTCATGTGTATAAAAAAATAAAAAAAATAAGCAGAAGGCATAATTCTTGAGCGCTTGAGAGAAATATGTTTCTTAAATCCTCTTGCTTCATTTTGCAGATAGGCAATTTACAGTAATCTCTGTATGATGTCATCAGTTTCAACACCTGCTTAAATTACTTACTAGTCTTATGCAGTACTAAAAAAAAAAGATTTTTCACTAGCTTTAAGTAACGATGATCAGAATTCACTCAAATAAACAAAATCTGTTGTTTTCAATTAAATTACTAAAGCAATTCTAATAGATAGTCATTACTTAAAGGTGAACCTTAAGTTGAATTTAATATTAGTTTGGTTAAAGTAAGTTAAATGATTTTATAACTATTTTCCAGGTGCTCTCGATGGTACTGGAGTACCCTGAACCCACTGCAACGGTGCAGATATACCTGTAAAATTCGGGAGGTGCGGCCTGTTATCCAGGAGAAGCCTGTTGAAGAAATGCCAGACCAGGGAGACAATCACACTATCGCCCACAGTCCACGTCAACTGCCTGGTGTGTAAATTTAGCAATGGAAAAAGTATGTTTGTCACGTAGTATACTTTGACAGTTTAGGGTTTGATTAGAATTAAGTTATCCGAGTGTAGCAGCAGCAAAACGACAGGAAATGGAACCACTTTGACTCATAGCAGCAGTGACTCAGAAAGATAGCAGATGTGATAAAGAAAATAAAGATATGGTCTTCACATCCACTATGCAGTGTAAGAAAAAAACATGCTGATGTTAAAATAAAATAATCTGTTCAAAGAAGTGTGAATGTGTAAGACTGTTAAAAAATATTTAACGCCAGCTTGTTTATCTTTACAAGAATACCAGACTATTAGTAAGAGTGAGAAAAATGTGCAAATAATAGTAGAATAGAAGAAGCTAATGTTGTCTTAAATGTTTGGTATGAATATACAGGAGCTTCTGTCGAAGAGGCAGAGGAAACGGAAGTCCACCACCCTTCAGAGGAATCCCATCTTCTGTGTCTTCCCCCAAAGTCTGATCATAGTACAAAGCCAAAAATCCCCAATCATCCTCTTCATCGGCGACCAGCTGGAGGTCTGTCCCGTCCTCTGCCATGTCCAGGTATGTAATCTTTTTTTTTTTTTTAGAGATCCTATTTATAAACCATGTAAAACGGAAGATGCAATGTTCTAATTCATTATTTCTTTTACTTAGGTGTAGTTCAGACTAAACCCCACCACATCCTGACCATAAGTGATCTAGAAGAGACCCGGAGAGCTCGCCGCCACAGCCCACACTCTGGGACACCAGGCCTAAAGAGTCGTATGTCCCCGCCCCCCGTTGCCCCTCTAACCGGACCCATTACCCTCCGTGCCGGGAAATCTCCTCACCCAACCTCCCCTTTGTTTCCACTCGGTGTTTCAGACAACCTGATGAATTCATCCCGCTCAGTCGGTGGTAGAAACGCTTCCTCAGTCCGCGCCACATCGTTCTTCCCTCAGTCTCACTGGCATGAGAACACAACCTCCATGCAGCAGTTACCCAGGAGCCGCCTGTCCTTTGATCTGAGTGGCTCCGATTCAGTTGAGGTGCCGCACAACTTTTTAGCTTCGCCGGAGCCAGAAGACGTCTCTCCAGCAAACGGCGCTTCGCCCCACGGCGATGTAGACAAGCACGGTGACCATTTTCCATACGACTCCTTTCACAGAGAGTCCAGCATAAGTCTGGGTGAGGAGATGCGAACAGAACTGGAGATTGAAGAAACACTTCTGAACGAAGGTGTGGCAATGAACTGCGGGGGGCAGATAGTGGTGGAAGGTGATGATGCGGAGCAGTTTTGGGGAAGAACCAAAGAGGTACGGAAGAGGAAATCCCTTGTTGCAAATCTTCCACGTTCTGCAGCCTCGGCAAAGGAAGATTTGGGAAGCACCTCCTCAGATGATGATATGGAGCACTACTTGAACTTTTCAAGAACTGTAGTCAGCTGCCCAGCATCCAAAGATCGATCTAAGTCTCCTTGCTCCTCTTCTTCAACCCGGCCCTTGGCTCAGCTGGATGGGATAGATGACGGTACTGAGAGTGACGCAAGCCTAGCGGCCACCGATGATTCTCAGAAGGTTGATGGACCTGGGAAAAATGAGATAAAAAGAAAAGACCTTCATAATAAAAGTAGTGAAATCACAAACAGAGCCAAATTAGCTAATCTCTCATTTCACCACAACCAAGCAGCACCTTCAGGTGCTAGAAAAGGTACAGCTGACAGACCCCCCCAATGTCCGCCGATATCCTGTGATGCCTCAAACACTCCTTTGATAGATCATGAATCTATACCTCCTACTCCAGGTGTCGAAGCTCTTCCTAACTTGCTCATTAAGGTGCCTGAGACGTGCTATTCAGACCCGTTGTCGTCCGGTTCCAGTTTAGGCTTTGCCTCTGAAGCGGCGCTTGTGCTTGAGAGATGTGACGGAAACCCAAGTTTCACTGAACTGCTTCCTGTTGTACAAGGACCTGAAAGCCAGCAGAGTGAAATCTGCGAAGCCCTGAACTCGGAGTCCGACGGCCCCAACTTTACGTCTTCAGCCGAGGACCCTGCTGTTTTGACAAACCATATAACATCTGATCTGATGGATTCAGCTGATAATAGCCAGAGCTCCACGCTGGGCCTTCTCCAGCCCCCCTCTTTTATGCCTACAGATGTGCAAACCCCCTCGCAATGCCTCGTAGATTCTCTTGAGGTGTATCCCTGTTTACCAGGTTTCAGTAATCCTCCTCTAACCAGTATCACACTTCAGCCAGTGGCACCACCTCAGGAATCCCAGAACTTCCCCTGCATTGAGCCTTTGTCCTCTAAACTGACAACCCTTACTCCTGTAGGAGATGTTATCCAAACGCCGCTGAATGACCCTCAGAATGATCCAGCATTACCAGCTTGTTTAGGGACTGGTTCCCCAACGGAAACTTGCGCTGCTCTGTTCTCTGCTCAGACGCATCCGTTCAGTTCTGGCACTGCTGTTTCTTCCTCTGTTTCTGTATCAACTCTTCCTGGGCTGTTAGCACAGGGTGCAGCCACTCCAATACCGCTGCAGACCACTTCTGCTCCTGTGGTCCTGAACGGTTATAGCTCCTCCACTACACAGAAGGAAGCAATGTCCAGCCACACAATCTCCATCAACTTCTCCTCTCAGAGGCAAGCGATAGAACCTCACCAGCAGGTGCTGCCTCAGGCATTACCTGGTCACGCCATCCTTACTGTGAAAGAGGTCGGAGGTCCGAATGTAGATCCCACTCCTCATGTTTTGTTGGTGAACCGCCTTGGGCAGATCTTTGTGAAGAACCCTGAAAACAATGCATTCCAACTGCCCACTCCGAATTCCTCATCCTATAACTGTGTCACCCAGATTGCCAGTCTTTTGCAGAGCAACGCTCTTTCAGCCACACTGGCTGCAGCTGGAAACATGACTGTTGCTCCACCTGGCACCAGCCTGACGGCAGCTTCTGCTACCGCCACACCGTCGGCTCAGAACCCAACCACAGTTACACAGCTGCTCACACACAACAGCAACGGCGCCGTGGCCTCATCCAATTCCAAGAAGCCCAGAAAAAATACAAAAACTCTGAAAGATGAAGCAGCCTCTGAGCTGAAGAAACCAAAGAAGAAGAAGGAGTCCAGTTCATCCAGGAAATCAAAGTCCTCCAAGGCTGCAGGACAGCCTGCCTTATCTGCTGAGACTCACCAGATGAGTCCTGCCGAGAGCGCCCAGGCGATCATCAATCAAGCAATGGCGAGTAACTACACCCCAAAGTGGACCGGGCTCCAGACAATGAGTCCTTCCTCACTGGTTCTACCGCCTGGCCTTCTAATTGAGCCCGAATCTCCAGTATCGCCACGTTCTCCTTCACCTCCAGCACCACCGCCGCCACCTCCAGCCCCTCGGCCTCGTTCCCACGTCCGCATGAAGAGAGTGTCTTCCCTCTCCGACCGCATCGTCACGAAGAAGTGTAAAGTTGACTTCCTGCCACCAGAGGGCATCAGCGAAGAGGAGGAGCCCCGTAAAGCCGCTTTTCCAAGCGCATCCAACAGGGCCTCAGGAGTTCGCATTAAAACCCCAACAGTGAAGGGCGTCCTGAATCTGGATGAGATGAAGGATGAACATCTTAGTGATTCTGAGAGCTCAGGGTGAGTTTTTATACAAGAGCCTTGAATTATGCTTTTGGAAACCTTTCTAACATTATCATTCTCTCTGCAAGTTATTGTTGGGCGGGTTCTTTTGTTAGTTTTTGCAATAATTTCTCATGATATGTACTTGCACATTAAGGAGCACAGAGATGCAAAAACTATTTCCAGCGGCATAAGTACCCTCCGCCCAGAATTTTCCATAATAAAACACAAAAAAACGGTTTAACCCAAAAGTGGTCTTTCCGCTGTCAGATAAGGGGACAGAAAAGGGTTTTTTAATTTGACTAAAATGGTTCTTTTGACAAGAAGTAACATTAATGTTTTAGAGAAGTGTGAATCTTTAAATCCTCAAAGGTAAATCAAAACGGCAGCCAAAGATGCAAAACGCTGGTCAGAATTATAAAAAAGGGCTCGATTGCTGTATGCAACTAAGGCTACGTTCACACTGCAGGCCTTAATGCTCAATTCCGATTTTTTTGTGAAATCTGATTTTTTTGCGTGTCCGTTCACACTTCCAATTATATGCGACTTGTATGTGATCTACTGTGTGAACTGAAAGCGTTCAACCGAAGTGTCCCGCATGCGCACTCGAGGACGCGATGACGTCACATGTAGCAAGCGTCCTCAGTGTTTGCGGAAGTAAACATGACTCGTAATACCGCAGCGTATATTGCTTTCTTTAAGTTCTTCTCCAACAGGAGCAGGCACATTACGAACGAAATCTTTTTAAGAAGATCAAAAAGAAAGAGAGCCAGGTTCCGGTAAGACCCTTCGAGTTTGATCTGAATCGAGCCATCTTTCCAAATATGAATTAAGTCAGCAACCTCACTTTCTCTCCATTGACTGCTCTCTGTGTTATCTTCCGCCATGGTTGTTAGTTTTTCCCACCTCCGCTTAGTAGGACGCAGATTAGTAACGTTTAGTAACATTTGTCAAGTATCAATGACGTGTAGGTCGGATGAATGCAATATATATATATATATATATTAGGGCTGCAACTAACGATTATTTTAAAAATCGATGAATCGGACGATTATTTTTTCGATTAATCGATGAATCGGACAAAAAATATTTTTTATATTAACCTCTTTATTCCAAAATAAACATTTTAGACAGAACAAACAAGCACACAAGTACAGGTTGCTCATTAACTGTACTGGTGCAATATGAAAAATAAATGTTTGTGTTAAAACTACGCAAACTTAGATGAGAAATGTAGCTGTACATCCACAAAATATAGGGTACTTTGTTTCATAAAGCGCAAAAAAAGACATTTTTGTTTTTAAAAGCCCCTAAGGGGTTCAAACAATAGGTCCCCCATTTCAACAAATGAGTTTTTTTAGACTAGAAGAGTTCTGCCTTTTAAGACAGGAAAGTATAGCAGTTAAAGTTGCTACTTGAGAAAATACTGAACCATAGAGATAAAAATAGCCCTGTGATTCAAATTATAAATTGTATTTGGAATAAAAATGAGAGAACTAGGGGTGCTAAAAAACACATCCTCCAAAGACTCCAATTTACATGGGAATGTGGCATATAATTAATTGACATATTACTGATCTTGCTGGATTTTATTCTGCTTTACTTCCATAAATTGCAGGATCTTCTTTACTTTATCTTCGCCAGAAGATTTAAACTTTAAAAGCCTTGCCCTCATAATTTGCAAGTTAATTTATTTATAAAGTAAATGTAAACGCTGCTTAAGCTAATTCAAATGAAATTAAAAGTAAAATAAGTAGCCAACCTTATCACTGTCTGTAACCTACTAACACGGTAAGGAAAGCATCGGATGAGCTACCTGAGAAACTAACGTTACGTTTCCCCACTTTAAAACCAAACAAACATGGTGGTTCCGTGCCATGTTAATTTCTTTTGAAAAAAGTTGCATGTTATCACTTTTTTCGCTTTACAAAGCGCAGGCTATTTTAATTATTGTGATCAATTTGCGCCGTCAATCCCGGTGCATGCGCGCTTCATTTGCAGTCTGGACGCTGAGGCTCTGACTGCAGCTGAGAGGGACTCCTGCGGGAGCGGGGGGAGGCGCCCCACGGCAGAGTAGGAACGATACATGCTTTCACGTAAGAGTCTCCAAAAGCCGCCAGTGAAACCGAAAAAAGTCGCCAGATTTGTCGCTAGTCGCTTTTTTGAAAAATAGTCGCTGGAGGGGTCTGAAAAGTCGCTGAGTTGGCAACACTGTTCCTGCGGCGCTGACTCGCTCTGCCATATTTTTTTTTCTTCCTCTTTCAGTCAAGAGGCAGTGATGACGGCGCGGCGGATGACGCAATAATCGCGCGACACAACTAATCGATGATGAAATTCGTTGCCAACGCTTTTAAAAGTCGATTTTTATCGATTTTATCGATTCGTTGTTGCAGCCCTAATATATATACAGGCAGTGTTGGGAAAGTTCTCTTTCTACGTGAACTAGTTCAAAGTTCAGTTCACACATTTTAAAATGAACTAGTTCAGTTCATAGTTCATAATTCAAGATTTTGAACTAAGTTCACAGTTCCAAAAAATGAACTAGTTCATAGTTCTTTTTTTTTTTCATATATTGCTCAATTACACCATAGCCTACTGTAGAACCACAGACAGCAATTATTTTATTAGTTGTAACACTGAAACTGTGCGTCAGATTTCATCTTCATATCCAGTTTTGAATCCTTATCCAACCAGGGTTTACATTAGCATTGAGGGGACAGCATTTCCTCATTGTTGCTTTAACGCTTTGTTGCTGTCCATTCACTTCACACTAGTAGCAGCTGCAGCTTTCACCCCTACAGTATATTCTCAAAAACATCAGGAAAAATGTGCTGCTTTTTTATGCGGAATTATTTAAAGAAAAACAGGAAAGTAGTCTTTAAGGTGCAAATGTTTTTTTGTTTTGTTTTTTTATAATTTTTTCAATTTGAAATTCCATTTCAGTACATACTAAAAAGGAATACTGGAATCCTGGAAATTTATACCAGGCAGGTTTAACAAACAAGTTACATGAATAGTAAAACCCTCAAGAACATTTTACTAACACAAACTGAGGGACCAGGCTGAGGTAGTAATTTAAGGTTACTGAAGTGCGGATTTTTTTACTGAAAGCCGGCGGGCAAAGTTTGCAGAGAAATGTAAGATTTTTGCCATCATCCTCACCGACCACCTGGTCATAAAACTGTTTTAAGTGATCATACTGCTGCTTTGTCGCATCCACGGTCGTCTCCATGCTGCTGTGGCTTCCACGCTGCATTTTGTTTTGATGACGCACGCGGCTGTAGGCTACGACGCTGGTAGCTGGTGTTGCCAGATTTGGTGTTTTTCCCCGCTACATATTAAGGCCTGTTTACGGTGTGATTTAGCCGGAGTTTCGCCTGGAGGGCTCTATAGAAATTTGGCAACCTATTGAACGGAGTTGAACTGAGAGAGCGTGCCGTTCACAGACACCAGAATGAACGAGTTCATCAGGCAGTAATGCAGTACGTTCAGGCCACGTTCGCCCAAAATATGAATGAGTTCATGAACTTTCCTTCAATGAACACGTTCAGGCACAACACTGTATACAGTGTTCCCGCGGGTCCTTAAAAAGTCTTAAAAGGCATTGAAATCTACAAAATAAAACTAAGGCCTTAATTGGTATTAAAATTGCTTAAATTAGTCTTTCGTAGGTCTTATTTTTTAAAACATCATAAATAGGATTATTTTTATTACGATTTAATTTTGTAATCTAAATAAAACATTAAAATTGAAAAAAAAAATGTTTTATTAAAAAAAAAAATAACTGCTCGCCATTATTGGTTCTGTCCCGATAGCGGAACCGATAGCGTTGTTGCTGCCAGTATATTTGGGAGATGCGCCATTAACTTTTTGACTGGAAAATATGAGCAAGTGTAAATGAGGCACAGTGTATTTTATCCAAGTCATTCAAGCTCGGAACGATGGGAATTAAGGCAGTGGAGTCACATGCGAAGCACGAAACACAAGGCGTCAAAATCGAGTAACTGAGAACCAGCCGGTATTTCTCAGTTTAGTTCCACCCTTGTCTCTGCAACGCCTCCACTTATCACCAAATCAAACATACTAAGAAAACGATACGAAGAAAAATAGCTGCAAAAAAGACTTGGCACTGGTTTTGTTGTGGCTTTAAAACTGATTTGTTTTGTTCCCTGCTAAAACAAAGTTTGTGAATTCAGTTAAATAATTGTTAAAATATATCTGTCATTTGTGTGTTTTTAGCTTTCTTCCTGTATGGGAAGTTTTTCAAAATTTGAAACATTGGTGCAGTGGTTTATGTTAAAACAAACCTTTGGGTAAAGTTGTCGCAAGTGGGTTTTTCTTGTTTTTCTTTTGAATTTTTATTTCAAGTGGCATTAAAAAGTCCTGAATTTAACTTGCCTTATGCTGTAGGAACCCTGTGTGTGTGTGTGTATATATATATATATATATATATATATATATATATATATATATATATATATATATATACATATATATATATATATATATATATATATATATATATATATATATATATATATATATACACATATATTTATTTATTTGGGGTGGAATGGTTTACAAAATCCACGGTTCGGTTCGGTTCACAGTTTCATGGTCACGGTTTTCGGTTTGGTTCGGTATATGTTGATTGTTACACCGAAAAATAAAAAAATTAATAAAAATTATAAAAATTTATGATTTTTTTTTTTTATGACATTAATGAAAAAATCCAAAAAAATTAATGAATTGTAATTATTTTTAATGATCCGCAGAAACCCTGGATCATTTCCATATGTTTTGCTGCTTTGAATTTAATCATCTCGCGCATGCTCTCTACCATCTCCAAGGAACTCAGAGCGGAGCCGACGGGAGCCACAGCGGAGGCTGTAGGCTTTGCTTTGTGCAGGCGGTCTGGAGCGCAGCGGGGGTTGCTGACGGAGCATGTGGGATTTCGGGGTTAGCTTGACATGTTGGTCATGTTGCTGTTAGCATAAACAAAACATGTTGCACAATGCTTGCACACTGTTGCACTGTTATCCACAACTTTCTTTCCGCCGTCATTGTAGGTCACTCTAAATGCAAAGTGGTCCCATACAGCAGACCTATAAAGTGCTGCTGGCGCGTCTTCCAACTCCTGTTCTTTCCCACTCGCCATACCCACACAATTCTCCGCAACAACTGATTTTTTTCTGCTACACCCTAAGCTGCTTCGCTTCTTCTTCTTCTTGTTTACTTTTGGTGGTTGGCTTTGGTCGCAGTACCGCCACCTTCTGCTCTGGGGTGTAAACGCTTCGCCTATGAGAAAATGGAGCAGCGCATGAACCGAACGAAACACACGCGAATCGAACCGAGACAGTCGAACCGAACGGTTCTGACGGTTTCCATAAATCGTTCCATCCCTAAGATATATATATATATATATATATATATATATATATATATATATATATATATATATATATATATAAACCTTATGATCATTTAATCCACACTACATAAAAGTAAGTTGGAAGTTTTCTAAATGCATTAAGATGTTTGTGCTTAATCTGCCAGGTCCGACTCTTGGAGCTTCCTGTCTCAGGGTGATGCTGGAAAGCACCTTGCAAGAGAAAGCTTGGGTCACATGAACTTGACCGACTGGAAGAAATACTCAGGTACCCAGAAGATACAGATACCCGGTCTTGCCCCAGAATTTTTAACCTCTAGTTCCCATTTCATTGAATTCAGTTTAATTATATAGCGCCATTTTACAACACGTCATCTTAAAGCACTTTACGATTTAAGCAGATCATACAGTCAGATTGATTCAAAGTTTTCTAAGGAACACCAGCTGATTACATCGACTCATTGACTCGAATGCAATCCCTCACACTAAGCATGCTTGTAGCGACAGTGGAGAGGAAAAACTCTATCTACACAGGAAGAAACCCCATCAGAAGCTTTTTGCAAATGCAACAGTAAGACTGGCAAAGTAAAAACATAGCGGTGTTGATTTTTGGTTGCAGGCTCTGTTTCAACTTCAGATGATGAACCGACACCTTCTGATGATGACGATGATGGACGTCCAATTAACAAAGACCAGCCTCATCTGCGATTTGAGATTACCAGCGATGATGGTTTCAGCGTGGAGGCAGACAGTGTTGAGGGTAAGCCTGATATTGGATTTTCTTTTCTGGTCCCTCCCCAGTTGTAATTTATATTCCCTGGACCCCTGGATCCTTTTTTTAACAGTAGACTTTTATTTTGTTTTAATATGTTTTGAGTTACTGTCCTCTTGGAAGAACATCAGATAACCCTTTCCATCACTTGGTTCTAATGAGGACTCCTAGAGTGTTTACTAGAGAATCAGTCCAATAACATTACTCACACGATATTGTTTATATGCTTTGGTCATGGGGGGCTTTTCCATGAAATTCTTTATTTGTCTTGTTCTAAATCACAGTAAATGTTGTTCTTGTAATAAAACTTCACTACAGTGTCTGAGCAGAGCAGATGTTCCCAGTTATAGCCGTCTGCATCAGCTAAACAGCTTCATGTTATGCTCATGTAGAAGAGAAACGGCTGTTTTTCATGCTGCTCCATTTAAAACAAATGAATAACTTGGTATGGAGGCTTTAGGTTTTCTAAACCTCTTAAGCATAGAGGACTACAAAGCTCTGTCTATTCCTCTATATATTATATGTTTGGGGTTGTTTTTTGTTTGTTTTTTATCATACTCTAATGGTCTTTTTTTCCTTCCCTATTAGTGGCCTGGAAAGCAGTAATTGATGGTGTGCAGGAAGCCAGAGCGATCACAAGGCTCAGGCCTCTGGCTTTTCAGAAGATCACTGGCCCTCGTATGGTGGGACTGATCCACGATGCGGTGGTGTTTTTGCTGGAGCAGCTTGAGGGGGCTCACCGCTGTCAGCGTCATTCTTTCCGTTTCTTCAAACAGTTTAGCCAAGAAGAGGACTTGCCTGTGAATCCTACCGGCTGTGCCCGCTCTGAGCTTTATGTTAGGTATGAACCGTCCAATCTATAATTCGATCAACGTTCTTTGGTAACCTTCAACTCAAAACTATCAAAGCAAGTCATTTCTCCTTTAGGCATAAAGTGGCTTAAAAAGAAAAAATTAAGTGTTTCTAACAGTATGGGAAAGACATTTCTATTTGAAATAAGTCACATTGAAATCATGATTTCTGATTCATCTGAGCAGCATTACTCATCTATTAAAGTGAAACAGCCTGTTCTTTCAAACTATGTTGTAATTTTCTGCAGAAAGACCTGCATGTGACGAACAGTTGTTTTCCTAACAGGCTCACCATGTTAACAAAGGTGACTTTTTATTTTATTTTTTTATTCCTCCATGTTTTTACAGGAAGTCCACTTTCGACATGTTCAACTTTCTGGCCTCTCAGCACAGACAGCTTCCTGACATCGGTCCATATGATGATGAGGAAGATGATGTTCTTCTGAAGTCCACACGGTCAGGCCTTACTGTTAAATTTTCCCTTTTATTTTTCCTTCAAGGAAATTTTATACCTGCAGAAATGAAATTTGTTTTTCAAATATTTCTCCTTTTAACGATCATTTGATGCTTGCATTTCCTAGAACCCAAAAGGAAATGTTTAGCTGTAAAACTATGTTTTGATTCTGGCTGACTCTCAAGAATGAGGACAGAATGAGGACAGTTTATTTTATTTTATTTATTTATTTTACATGTTTGATTTGGGTCTTGAAATGTATAATGTTCAAAGGGTTCAGTGTTATTATTGATTTTGCTGATGTCAAAGTGATACTGTTCACTATGCACAACATGACTCAATAACAAGATAAATAATTGGGAACTTTCCTTTTATATAAAGCCACCATTGTGTTATAAAAAAAAAAAACATTTCTCTCCAACGCTGAACCCAATTTCCAGACTCCTTTTTGGTCTAAACCTCACAATCGAAAATAATCAAGAGAAAATTGGCTCAGTTTAATTTCTGGCTGATTGCTTCCACGTTTTATAAAAGCAAGGCGGACAGAGCAGAGATGTAAACATATGGAGTTATTTCATCTGTTTTGCTCTCTCCCTCAGACGGGCTACCAGCTTGGAGCTGCCGATGGCCATGCGTTTCAGACACCTGGAACGGACCTCCAAGGAGGCAGTTGGAGTCTACAGGTCAGCTACGTTTCTGTAAACACCACCTGTATTTACATGAAGGATATAGTATTGTAAGCTATGCTGTTTGCAATAAAAGGTGCTCTCCAGGATAGAGGAAACACACTGCTAATTTAAGGTTAGACTGATTTGAGGTAACACCTGCCAACTTGTTTTTAACGAAACCAGATCCTTTTCTATAAAAAATAATAAAAACAACTGTATTCAGATGCTCACAACTGAATTCAAAGGTCAGATTATTGGTAGTTCCTCCATTTAAATCAGATAATAATGACAATGTTGGGTTTAATGTTTGCTATCAGTTAGGTAATCCTTTGTAAGTAGAATATGGGGGCTATCAGGACTGCATTAAACCAGTAAAATTTGCTGATCGTTCCAGTAGATGTCTTGTACAGCAAAGACTTTTTTTTTTTTTTTTTGCTTTGTTGTTCTTACTTGTTGTTGTTTTTAGTTCATCGTGTCTATGAAGCAGACATTCACTATACTTTGTAGAAATAATACTGAATGCAATTATTTAAATAAAATCCCAAATGTAGATGTATCAAAGACACGTCGCATTAAAGTTGAGAAGAAAGTGATTAACAACACTATTCATTTTACATTTAATATAAAAACTATTCCTACCCCTGGCTATCCTATATTCAAACCTGCCACATTTCATCTGCTTTCAGTCGACCAGGCGGTTTCCATGCTTATTCAGACCCTTGCTTCTGGTTTAAATCAACTCTGATCCAAACAAAAAAAAATGTTTTGAGGCGACTTCCAAACAGACTGGTCTCTATCCAGCCCACATGCAGAAAGAATACGCCTCTGTGGATTTAGCAAAGCTATAAAATGGGTAATTTATAGAAATTCTGACTGTTCCTGTTTGTTTCTTAGCAACCCTGCCACCATAAAGCATTAGATCTGCGTCAGTTTGAAGGATGTAATCTTCAAAACTGTCAACAGATTTTAAAATAAGAGTCTCGAGATCTACAGATCTACGAGATCTTTTTAAAGTTGAAATAAAAGCATACATATTCATAACAGAAGTGCTTCATGCAAGACTCCTGTAGTTGTCTTGCACTTTAATTAAAACGCATAACAATAATTACAGTCTGCTTTTCATCCAGACTAAAGTACTTTTTGATGTGGAGATATATATATATATATTAGGGGTGGTACGGTTCACAAAATCCACGGTTCGGTTCGATTCACGGTTTCTGGTCACGGTTTTCGGTTCGATTCGATACATGTTGATTGTTACACTGAAATTCCATAAAAAATTATGAAATTAATGAAAAAATCCCCCCAAAAATAATGGATTGTAATTATTTTAAATCTTTAAAATTATTTTATTTTAAAACCCTGGATCATTTCCGTATGTTTGCATACGGAAATGCATGCATCTGGCTGTTGTCAGGTTACTGTACATGCTCTCTGCCATCTCCAAGGAACTCAGAGGGGAGCGGACGGAGCCACAATGGGGGCTGTAGGCTTTGCTTTGAGCAGCCGGTCTGGAGCGCAGCGGGGCGGAGCGGGGGTTGCTGACGGAGTATGAGGGATTTCGGGGTTAGCATGACATGTTGCTGTTAGCATAAACAAAATGTGTTGCACAATGCTTGCACACTGTTGCACTTTTATCCACAACTTTCTTTCCGCCGTCATCGTAGGTCACTCTAAATGCAAAGCGCTCCCATACAGCAGACCTATAAAGTTCTGCTGGCGCGTCTTCCAACTCCAGTTCTTTCCCACTCGCCAGTCCGACACAATTCTCCACAACAACTGATTTTTTTTCCCTGCTACAGGCTAAGCTGCTTCGCTTCTTCTTCTTCTTGTTTACTACTGGCGGTTGGCTTTGGTCGCAGTACCGCCACCTTCTGCTCTGGAGTGTAATCGCTTCCTCTATGAGAAAAAGGAGCAGCGCATGAACCGAACGAAACACACGCGAACCGAACCGAGACAGTCGAACCGAACGATTCTGACGGTTTTCATAAATCGCCCCATCCCTTATATATATAACATTCCTCAAACAGGAGATTTTACTGAGTAGCTAATCTGATTGATGATGGGTGCATTGCTTAACGGCTCTAGAAACTAGACTCAGGAAATGAGAAGCTTTGAAATGGAATGTAATGTCATATTTCATGCAGTCATGCAGTTTAGTCAGCCTTCTCAGAATAACTTTTTTTATTTTTGGCTTGAGGTCATGTTGTCATAATTTTCTGGGTTGTGGAAAAATCTTCAGCAGAAGGACATCAAGTTATTGATATTATGTACCAGAATGACGGTTTATCCAACAAACAGATTCATTTTCCTGCAGAATGCAATCTGATTATCATATTTTTTTATTTTTCTCTGGTCTGGTCGACTATGTCAATGTAGGTCAGCGATTCATGGGCGCGGCCTCTTCTGCAAAAGGAACATTGAAGCTGGGGAGATGGTCATTGAGTATGCTGGCATCGTCATCCGCTCAGTACTCACAGACAAAAGAGAAAAGTACTATGACGGCAAGGTAAGCTGACTCTGAGCGCTGTCAGTCTGTACAGTCCATACGTGCAGCCTAATGTGCCGATTATATCCTTGCTCTCAGGGTATCGGCTGCTACATGTTCCGCATCGACGACTTCGACGTGGTGGACGCCACCATGCATGGCAACGCAGCCAGGTTCATCAACCACTCCTGCGAACCAAACTGTTACTCGCGTGTGATCAACGTGGAAGGCCGAAAACATATTGTCATCTTCGCACTAAGAAAAATCTACCGGGGCGAGGAACTCACCTACGACTACAAGTTCCCCATCGAAGATGCCAGCAACAAGCTCAACTGCAACTGCGGGGCCCGGCGATGCCGCCGCTTCCTCAACTGATGACTCTGTGGTAGATCCTGGGTAACTAGTAAGCCTTAATACGAAGATGACGAGAGATTACCTCCACAGCCTCGCATGGAGATAACCACTATGAGACTGACCGGAAATGCGCAGCTGGTCAGAAAATGAGGGAAATTTGACTATTTGGAAAGTTTCCTGTTTCAAATTTCCTCTGCGTAGTTTTACTTGTTTTTTTTTTTCTTGTTTTTTTTGTTGACACATTCAGCTCCATCAACAGTAAGCAAGGATGTGGTTTTGAATATTTATAACTCGGCATTGAAGCAGACAAGAGAGGACTTCCTCTACTTTAAATGGAGGATGCCAACATTCACTGAGCCTTATGTGTTTGAAGCATTGCTGAAGCTAAAGTTTGGTTCCTTGTAGAGTTTATTATTTTTGGGTGGAGGCAGGATTCGTCCTTCTGTAGTGATTTGTTCAGAAATACTCCATTTTAGTTTTACTTTGGTGGCGGGTTGGTTATAGCTCCATCTGTGCAGTGGTGATGTCTGTTTTTGAGCCATACATTCACCCAATCCTGTATTTTTTGTGTTTGAATTTGCTTACAATCAACAGCTCTCTTTATTTTTCTTAGATGTAAATTTTGTTTATAACTTAACAACCATGGTGCTAAAGCTTTTAAAGCTTTTTTTTTTCTTTTAGTTGGACTAAAACGTATTGAGAATCAGGAATCGTTTAGCTGTATATAATCCTCCCTGATGATAAACTTATGCACTCAAGCATTTCTTCTAAAATCACTGGTGTGCCAAGATTCTCCAATTTAGCATCAGGCCTCTGCTGTTTTTTTTTGTTTTTGTTTTTTTATCTGCTCCCAATTCTAAATTGGATGTTGTAACGTGGTGGTACTGTAGTGTCATAGTTATAAAAACAGAAGCGTGTCTTGTTAGACATTGTATGTGCTCTGCATATGTAGCAAACACTACCCAAAGCCAAAAGTGAAGATTTGTATAGGGGAGAGATTTTTTTTTAAGTACATTTTTTGTTTTCTAGCCTGATGCTAATTTTTTACTTCTTCCTAATGCAATAAAACTTGGCGGGTCAGCAGTTTCACACCAATAAACATAACCACCAGAGCATTACCTTCATGTTTCGGAGACCTGCTAAAGACTAGAAGTCAGGGAGAGTAATGGGGCTTAAAGCGTTGCTACTGAGCGCTTGTGTTCGGCGCAGAGCTGAGAGGGGCGTTGTGCACCTTTTGGAGAAAAAGCAAAACGTTGTAAGTTGATGTTCAGCGCTGTTGATGACGAGGGTAGATTGAAATCCCGCAGTTCGGCTTGTTAATCGTATTTATTCATGTTTGGATTTGTGTTTTTAACGGTAAAAGGTTTTGCTGTTTATAATGCGGTGGTGGTCTAATGTACAGCATTTCCCCTCTTTTGCATCTTTCTTTTGTTTACAGGTGATGTCCTTCGTTTTTGGTTGTTTACTTGAATTTCCATTTCAGGCCGTTGTCATACATTTAAGCCTTTTATGACTGTTATAATTTTTTTTTTTTAAAGAAGTCTTTTTATTGATATTTTTTTATTGTAGAAGACTGTCTAGCAAAGAATCAGCCACAGGAGTTAAAAGTGAGCACTTTTCGCCTACTAATACCCACTGTATATTTTGCTTTCATCCATCTCCTTTCCGTTTTAAAGACTCAATAGAGCAAATCGACATCATGTTTTAACCCATTTTCTCATTTGCATGACTTGTGCTGGGATAGAGCCCAGGTTAGCAGGGCAGAGTCGGTCCTAACTTGCAAGGATTTCTACCTCAGCTGATTAAACAGATGTTTGGGATTACTGATGCAAAAAGAGACTTTGATAAAAAAATTAGTAAAAAGCTTGTTTTTAATATTCTTGTATGTACGTGTGTGTGTGTTTGTACGTATATATATATATATATATATAATATATATATATATATTAGTGTGTTTTTCTTTAATTCTGTGTGCATGGAAAGAAGGCTGTGGAAGCCCTATTTAAAAGCAAAAGTTATGACCATCTCTCCCAGGATCTGTTAAAGCTGTATGTTATATATATACATACCTATATATAAATATAAATATATATGAGAAATCTAAAAAATACGGTTATTTTAGAGTGTAAAAGACATAGAAATGAGAAAATGTGCTCTTTAAATTTACGTCTTTGTTACCATGTAAAAATAAACCCTGAGTTTGTAAATACTTGTATATACATTTCTAAACCTGTTTAATTTTCTATGCACTTTTTTTATTTATAATGTTACTTGCTTAATAAAGATGTTAAGATGTTTGAACATGTTTTGTTTATTTTCACAGACACGATGACATTGCAAACGTTACAAAATTATATACCTCATGTTTTAAAATGTGTCACTTTATTATGTATGACTGCAGGCAGTAAAGAAAACCACAAAAACAAAAGGCAAAAAAAAAGTCAGTAACCTTCCAGAAAGGTTTGGCAATTTGATAAAGATCTTCAAAAAAAAGCCCTAAAATATCATTTTAATCATTTTTATTATTAAAAAATAAGATTCAGGTACAGATCTGAGTAACTGAGTGAAGAACAAAAAAAAATGCATTTATTAGCTAGAATCTGGTGACATGTCTTCATGATCCATGCTCCATACTTGACTGGAGGGGCAAGTTGCTTTTTTTTTTTCTTTCCTTCATGTCAGACCCATCTAAAGTAGTTGATGTTGTAGTTTCTACTAAATTAAACATGATAGAAGGAAAAAAAAAATCATGGCTGGCTGACATTTGCAAACTTTCCTTAAAGCACTTCGCTCAGCACCAATTCCTCAAAAGGTGATTCATATTTTTGTTTTACTTCCATAACCATCCTGCTTACTTTGCATATTTTTATCCTTTTTTTAAATATAGGTGTGATTTTCTTTATGAGCTTGAATAAAAAAAGGATTTTCCAAGGTTTCCAATGAATTTCCTTGGTACGGAAATAATTCTTGTCAGCATAGGATCATGTGGAATCTTAAAGCTAACATCAGCCTTGTAGATGCTGGTAGAAAAGACCCAGCTACCTTCCTTAGTATATAGTCTGGTGCTGCATCTGAAAAAAGAACTTTTCATTGCTGGAGTGACTGGAGTCAGTTCTTATGGAGCCTAGGCGGAAATTTAACTGAAGAAACTCATTGCCCTTCTACATCCACCTGCGACATAGCCAATCAGCTTTGAACCACACCTCCACAAAAGTCAATCGGAATCCACAGTTCATCTTAATAGGCCTCCGATCCACACTCCTTCGCTCCTGTGTGCAGGTGGCGGATGCGCGGTGACTTCCTTCAGATGACACCGTTTCAACCCAGCCCCTCCTCCACCTTCATAGCTAAAGCATCAGTGTCAGTCCTCCTGGACTATTACTGCGTTCCCTGTCTCATCTCAACTGGTCTGACAGAAGACCGCCATGTTGAGCCTGGTTCTGCCAGAGGTTTCTCCCCAACGGGGAGTTTTTCCTCCACTGTCGCTTCATGCTTGCTCACAGGTTCTTCTAACCTGTGTTATCCAACTGGACTTCCATCTTCCAGGTCCCTGAGTGAAGCTTTAGTATCAGCTCACGCAGTCCCCTGGATCTCCCCATAAAGCTCAGCAGACCGTCTCACTAACCAGCAGTCTACAGACTGACCAACTTCATCCATGTCCACTCCACCACCAGCTTCAGGCCTTTGCTCCTGTTCATGAATATCTATCAAAATTAAGCGCTATGTTTCCTGCTGAGGTCTGAGCGCCAAAGTCAAAAGTAATTGTATCAATAAATGTATCCTAATTGTTTTTCAGATTGAACTAGAAACTACTTTAGTGAAGTTTCCAGGCAATGGGCAAAGGACCGATAGAAACATCATATCCAGTTTGGATTTAAAAAATCAAACTTAGATGTGGGAGAAAAAGTTTCAAATATATCCAACATTTGAACCAGGTCTGAGTTTTGCAAGAACGGTGATAGCATCATTGCGGCCCATTTGTCTGAGCAGGTTGGCCAGGTGGCCCACAGTCCAGTCGGGCTGCTTGCTGGTGACTGCCTCAAGCACAGCTTTCAGGGGGCTTTTGCTGTCCTTCATGGAGTATGTATAAGTGATCCAGGTGGAAGGAAAGGAGCAGTGGGACGCCAGGTGCTTTGTGCTCTTTATACCTTGAGTGTCTGGATCCAACAGAATCACCAACTCCTCCAAAACATCAAGATCATCCAGAACTGCATGTAAAGGTGCTGATAGGATTTGAGAATCTAAAAAAAAAGGCATAATTTATTACTTATTTTCTTTTATATTGGATTCTTTACAGCTTTTAACAGCATTTCACTCACTCAGAATGTCTTCCAGTGCCTCTGTGTTGGTACCAGATGAGGAGATCGGGGAAAATCCTTCATTTTTATACGACATCCTTCGACGATAAAACACACTTTTGCACAGACCTGTAGAAAACAGTGAGAAACATGGTTATTTTTCTAACAACTGATTAAACAAATCTCATCTCTGAGCAGAAGTTTACATCCCCTCATCGTGGTTGTGCCTGTTGCATTATTTTCAGGCTTTAAATTGAGTTTAAATCTTTCTTTTTTTTTAGAGCAGACAAGTGGTACAGCATATGAGCAACCTTTTATCATAATTGTTGTTGGATATTTCATCCATATTTTTGGGAAAAATAGCAGATTTTCACATTTTAAATCTATGAACTGTATTCTAGTAAAAGCAACCTGGTTAAATTGCTTGTCCTAGCACTGAAGTTTGTAGATTTTCAAATTTGAAAATATGCTATTTCCCTCACAATTATGGATGAAATATCCAGCCAGAATTATGAGAGTAGGATGTTAATGGATCCAAAAAATTTGACAATCCTTTCAGAAAGCTTAATGTCACCCTGCTTCAACCACTCTAAGCCCATTTTCTATGTTTTTTTGTTGGGATTACTACCTTGTAGAGACTGGCTGGTGATGTGGCTCACAAAAGTCCTAATTTCTATCACAGGTTTCAACAATCAAACTGTTTAAATTAGGTAAAGTTGAACACTAATCCTAATGATAAATAAATTGTTTAATTTCCTTTCTTTAATACAACAGTACCACTAGCAACAAAAAAAACCCATCAGCATTATCCTGCTACCACCGTGCTTAAGGCCTGTTATAGTACTCTTAGGTTTAAAAGCCTTTAATCATCCCATGGCCCCTCCTTTCCAGCTCAGCTGGTTCTTATAGAAGAAGTTGAATAATTATTTCAGATTTGAGAGAAGAAAAAGAAACCAGCAAAAATCATTCCAGAGGCAAAGCATCCAACATCAGACAGCAGAAACTCTGGAAAATTAGAACATCTGATCCACAAACAGGAAATAAAGAACATCAGAATCAAGCCAGTAGAGCTAATCCAATGTGCTGCAAAGGTATGCACCACAATTCTAGAAGACTTAGACAGATTGATTTTGTAATTTTGTTTAAAACAGCTCTAGATAATTTCATATTTTAAAGTGCAGTTTATATTACTATAGAAAATAGTAATATAAACATATGACTGTATATTTACAGTCCTAACATAATATTTTTTTTAAACGACAATAGCTTTCAGCAAAAGTGTAAAAGTTTACTTGCAAACACACTGATCTTCTACACCAGCGTAATCAGTGTGGCTCTTTTAAGTGTTATATGGGAAATGAATCGTAGCTGCAAAGAGAACCATATAAAAAAATCATAGAACTGTGACATACATGGATGGATGGATGGATGGATGGATGGATGGATGGATGGATGGATGGATGGATGGATGGATGGATGGATGGATGGATGGATGGATGGATGGATGGATGGATGGATGGATGGATGGATGGATGGATGGATGGATGGTGCAAATTGGTGCCGATTTGTAAGTCAATTTGTAAAACTATGAACCACAGCAGTTGAAACAATGGGGTTTAATAGTTACAATATCTGGCTGGCTCATAAAAGTCCAGATTTGCGTAAGGTTGGAATTAATAGGCCGAATGCAAATTCATTGATCGCAGTTAAAAGATTATGGTTTCTGCCGAAAATCACCATCTTCCTTTTACCAGGCACATAGTTTCCCACGCTTTGAAGCTGAAATGTTCAGTCACGTAAAACACGATCATTTACCATCCTACACAGAGCTCTTTTAGCTGAGGTTAACAGTTTGGGTGACATCACTGAAACACAAGCACAATTGAGTGCTCCAACATAACAATGATCCCAGACACATATCAAAATTAGAACAACAACAAACTTTGCCATTATAAGGCTGACAGTATCCTGTTTCTAGAGTTAGCATTAGTTTAAGTGATCTCAACCAATTTACCTGAGATTAGTGGACACATATCAACGCAGTACTACACCAAAGGTTGGATAATGGCTGTAAAAAGAATCAAACTGCATGAAACTTAAGCATGCTTTTACACAAACCTCTTTTTTTCTTCATTTTCAAAGCGCAGATTGCAGCAGCCAGCATGATGAAAACAATAATTGTTATTGGTACGGCCCCTTTAAAAAAAGAACAGAAAGAATGTAAGGAAAATGTTGGGCAACAAAAATTTAGATTTTGAGACTTAGGTCTGTGTAACTCACAGAGAGCTGCATTCGGCACGCTGCCTCCTTCTGGTAAACTATGTGTCGAGTATTTCTGAGTCTGAAATAAGAAAATAAATGAAAAAAAACATCACTAAACAGACCAGAAACTGTTTAGTTCAAATGTATCTCTCGAGCAAAAATGTCGATTTATTACTTGTTTCTCTTTTTTGTTTTTGTTTTGTTTTTTGTAGAAGGGTAATACATTTATTCAAGTTTTTAATGTTCCTGTGCATGTTTTCTACACATGTAAATAAATTGTGGTGTCTAATGAGACACTACACTTTTTTTGTTGTTTTATATCATATTCAAATAATCTGGAAATGTAAAGAAAACGTTTGGTTATCTAACATAACCCCAGTTCTTAGAATAATATGAGCGAGGTGTCTCGCTATGGGATGCAGCCTCCTGCAGCCCTGATAGAAGCATCTATCTCAATCTGCCAATCCTGATTGGCCGGTGGAAGTGCCCGTCATACGCCACGCCCCGTAGCTCCGACTACTAAAGCGTGTGCGGATCACGGCACTCCAATTCAACAAGCAAACCTCTTCTCGCCGCCCTGCAAGAAGGGTCGTCTGGCGAGACACCTCGCTCATATTATTCTAAGAACTGGGGTTATGTTAGATAACCAAACGTTCTTTTTCATAATATTCACTCGGTGTCTCGCTATGGGATATGGTAGCTCCCGTATTGCCAGACAGCTTATCGAACAAGAACCGGCCGATGGGGAAGGTACACAAGGTCAGTTATGACTCTAGGACCGCACTGGCCACGCACGGTCCAGACACGTCAAGCATGTAGAACCGGACAAAAGTCAGAGGCGAAGACCAATTCGCCGCTGAACAAATGTCCTGAACGGACACTCCCCGAAATAAAGCCCAGGACGCAGCCATCCCGCGGGTAGAGTGTGCACGCAGACCCGCCGGGGGCTGCAGACCCCTGCTTCCATACGCCAAAGCTATAGCCTCCACCACCCAGTGGGCGAGGCGTTGCTTTGTGATCGGCTGCCCCTTACGGGGCTCCGCCCAGGAGACAAAGAGCTGATCACTCATCCTGAAGCTCTGCGTCCTGTCCATATAAGAGCGCACGGCTCGAACAGGGCACAGCGTGTGCGCTCGACGTTAACCTGGGGAAGCGGCGAACGCCGCTAGCTCGATCGGTGAACAAGAACCAACCACTTTAGGAACAAAGGCCGGGTTGGGCTTCAGAACCATACGCGTGTATTCCGGGTCGAACCGGGTACATGCGGGGTTCACAGAGAGCGCATGAATGTCGCTGACTCGTTTCGCAGAGGCCAGGGCCAGTAACAGCACTGTCTTGAGAGAAAGATGTTTAAGACTGGACCCCAACAACGGTTCAAATGGGGGTCCCTTAAGCCCCTCCAGAACCACCGACAAATCCCACGGAGGCAGCAAAGGTCTGGAGACGGGGAGGAGCCTGCGGGCGCCCTTCATAAACCGACAAACCAAAGGGTGTTGGCTCGCCGTTTTGTCTCCAAATCCTATATGGCATGCTGCTATAGCTGCCAGATAAACCTTAACCATGGAAAAAGCTTTTCCTTTATCAATCAGTTCCTGTAAAAACGACAGAATCGCTGGTACAGAACACTGAAAAGGAACGTAGTCCCGTTCAAGACACCACCGCTCAAACAGTCCCCACTTGGAGCCATATAGGTTCCTAGTGGAGGGAGCCCTGGCGTTTTGGATAGTATTCATTACACTCTGAGGGAGCCCGGCAGTGGTTAAATTAAGCCACTCACGGGCCAGGCCCACAGCTGCAGTCGCTCCGGGTGTGGGTGGAACACTGTCCCCGCACCCTGCGAGAGCAGGTCCCTGCGCAGCGGCAGCTCCCAAGGCTGGGCGCACAGCAACTGGAATATCTCCGCCAGCCAGTGTTGCGCTGGCCAGTGCGGAGCTATTAGGATCAGTCTGTGATTGAATGCCCTCACTCTGGCGAGAGTGGGGGGTATCAGGGCCAGCGGTGGAAACGCGTATAGCAGCTCGTGCGGCCAGGCGTGCGCTAGTGCGTCTACGCCCAGAGGGGCATTCAGAGTGCTCAGAGAGAAGAACAGCTCGCATCGAGCGTTTTCCCTGGACGCGAACAGATCTATCTGAGCGCGCCCGTAGCGCGCCCATATCTGCTCCACGACCTGTGGGTGCAGCGTCCATTCCCCGTACACTGGCGCGCCTCTGGACAGCAGGTCCGCACCCGTGTTCAAGTCTCCCGGGACGTGCGTCGCTCTCAGGGAGAGAAAGTGGGCACTGCTCCAGAGAATCAGGTCGCGCGCCAGTTTGTGCAACATGCGGGAGCGCAGGCCCCCTTGGCGGTTGATATACGCCACTGTTGTCGTGTTGTCCGTCCTCACCAGGACATGGTGACCCGAGAGGAATGGGAGGAAGTGTCTCAGAGAAAGAAACACCGCCGAAAGTTCGAGAAAGTTTATGTGAAGGCGCTGGAGGGCCTGGCTCCAGCGACCCCTCACAGACCTGCCCTCGTGAATGCCGCCCCAGCCTGATAGGCTGGCATCCGTGGTTACCACTTTCCTGGACGAGACGGTGCCCATAGGCACCCCTTGGGTCAGGAAGGACGGGGCTCGCCAACAGCGCAGAGCTGTTATACAGTCAGCTGTGACCGTTATCCGCCGTGCGCCATGACGCACGGGGTCCATTCGGAGCGAAGCGACCCAGCGCTGAAAGTCCCGCATGTGAAGGCGGCCGAGGCGAATCACGAGGATGGCTGAGGCCATCAGACCCAGCAACCGAAGGCACAGTCTGAACTGGACAGACCTGTGCAGACGGAATTGTGCAAGGCACGCTCTGAAAGCCGTCACTCTTTCCTCTGACAGGCGGGCTGTGAACGGAACAGAGCGCAGGGATAATCCCAGAAAGCATATCTCCTGCGTTGGAGATAGGTGGCTTTTTTCCATATTTATTACAAAACCCAAATCCATCAGGTGTTTTGTGACAATGTGTGTGTGAACCCTGGCTTCCTGTTCTGACTGCGCTAACAGGAGCCAGTCGTCTAAATACGTGGCCAGATGTATCCCCCGGCGTCTGAGCGGGGCTACCGCGGCCTCTGTTCACCGTATGAAAACCCTCGGACTGAGAGACAGACCGAATGGTAGAACACGGTATTCGTAACACACCCCTTGAAAGGCAAATCGGAGATATTGTCTGTGAGGGGGATAAATGGGAATGTGGAAATACGCGTCTTTCAGATCCACGGACGAAAATCAGTCGTTCGGTCTTACTAGACGCAACAGTGCTGCATGTGTCAGCATCCTGAACTTGTATTTCCGCAGGAATTTGTTCAGGGCTCTTAAGTCCAGAATAGGGCGGATTCTTCTCCCCCCCCGTTTGGGGACGAGGAAGTATCTGGAATAAAACCCTGACAGACTCTGTTCGGGAGATACGACAGAAACTGCTCGTTTGTCTATCAGAGAGAGAATTTCCTCCTGTAAAACTCGAGCTGATTCTCCCTGTGCATGTGAGTGTATTACACCGGAGAAGCGGGGAGGGACAGTGGCGAATTGAAGCCTGTATCCCCGGGAAATTGTGCGCAACACCCACGGTGGAGCTGGTGCTGCTCTCCAGCTTTCCCATCTGAGAGAAAGCGGGGGAACATATTGCGGCTCCTGCCCCGCGCCCCCCTGTGGTGGAACCGAGAAATGATTCTCGGGCATCACCGGAGGCACGGTGGGGCGCTCTGCTCTGCTCCGCGGGGACGGCGGTGCCCGTCCCGGGAGCAGAGCTGCAGGGGGCTGAGCGGCCACCCTGCTTATGGAGAGAGCATCGTCTGTTTTGGCTTTTTTTATTATCTGCACCCTCGGCTCGTGGCCTGGCTGTGACAGATTTATTATTTTTATTTTGACACCATTTTTTCTTTGAACAAGGGTGTGTGACTGTGCTTGTGGACATTCCGCTCGGGGCGCAACCGCGCAGACCTCCGGGGTGATGTCCTTCTCCTCGCGGACCGGCTCTGGGATGGGCAACGGTGGCGTGGGGTGCGCACAAACAAGCCAAAACGGTGGGCCTGCGCAACGGGGAACAGCAGGCTGCACCAGCTGAGGAACTGGCGGCTGTCAGGCCGCCCTCTTTTTCTTCCTCGCCTGTGGGACCGAGCTCGCGGCGGCTGTGGGCGGCGGCGGCGTAGCGGTCGTGGAGGCAGGTTTCCCCTGCCAGCCGGCTCTGCGCTCCTTCCTCATCGGAGGGGGCGGACCTGGCGGTGGTGGCCGTCTTGGTACCTTAAAACGCGGCGGCTGGGAGGCTGCATGCGCAAAGGTTTTGCGTTGCACCGGAGGTGAAGGCGCAGGGGCTTTCCGAGGGAGACAAAGTTTGAGGGCCTCGTTGTCCTTTTTCTTTGCCTCACATCTTTGCTGCATTGTGGCCAATGCAGAGCCGAAGATGACTTCAGGGACGATCGGCATATCCAGGATGTCATCCCGCTCCCTGTCGGTCAGGTTAGCGAGACTGAGCCATCGCGCTCGCTCCTGGACGACGAGGGTTGCCATCACCTTCCCTGTGGCCTGGACCGCGACCCGTTGGATACGGAGAGACAGGTCAGCGATGACCGCCATCTCCTCCCACGCATCCGGGTCTTGCTCCTCAGCAGACGCGCCAAACAACTCCGCTTGGTAGACAGTGAGGATGGAGAGGGCGCTGAGGGCTCTGGCCGAGAGGGCTGCTGCTTTGTATGCCTTTTCGGTCAGCGCAGACTGAAACCGTTCGGGCTTCGCTGGCAGCGTCGGGCGTCTGGGGGAAGCTGCAGACAGCTGGCTCACGCTGCCTGGGCAGAGGTGCGCAGCTACCGGGACTTCCACCGGAGGCATAGAGAGGAGGCCGTGGGCGTCCATCGCCTCGCAGTCGAGGGATGCTGCGCCCGAAATAGGGCTCCTGTTGCTGTATGGGCAGCTAGTCCATATTTTGGAGAGCTCCGTCAGCAACTCGGGGAAGACAGGGAGAAGCTGCTTCACCGCATTTCGTGCCAGGGGAAGCCGTTTGCCTTCGTAGCGGGACCGGGTGGGCTCCGCTATTGCGACCGGCCAGGGAATCTCCAGCTTCTCTGCCGCGCGTTTGCACACGTCGAGCAGGTCCACATGGAGGGAGGGAGCTGGTGAGCTCGCTCCCCTGTCTTCCTTGGCGGAAGGGCACGGCGGTTTAGGCCTCTCAGGCTGTGCTGGGGCCATGAAGGTGTCATCCTCTTCCTCGTCCTCTGATATGAGGAACGAGGTGTCGTCATCCTCCTCCATAGGGGCTGACTTCCAGCACGTCTTCCTCGGGAAACGGGGGGGCATGGAGCTGCTCGCACTGGGCACCCCAGTCGTAGTCAGTCTCCGGAGCTTCCCCAGCTGTGTCCACGTCCTCCTCCGCGGCTGCACCTTGTGCGGCGGTGGGGAGGAATGGGTCACAGTCCGAGACGCTAACCTGGCGGGCTAGCCTGCGTCTGAGGCTCTTAACCGTGAACACTTTGCAGTGTCCACAGGAGCCGGGAATTTCTAGGGCCAACCTGGCGTGGTCGACTCCCAGACAGGTACTGCACACCGGGTGGGTGTCCTTCCCTGAAATTTTATTCCCGCAGCCACAAAGACGGTAGTCTCCCCTGGCGTGGGGGTTTTGGACGGCCGCCATTTCCCGACGAGCTGGAGTGCTGGTAGGGAAAGGAACCGTAGCTAGCTGGCGTGCTAGCGTGGCGGGGTCGAGGAAGTAGCTGGTGTGCTAAATGCTCGTCCGACTCGAGCGTCCGTGGAGGGGAGCCAAGAGGGATTCCGCCGTGAAGAGAGACAAAAGGATACCGGTCCGGTCTGGAGTGAGCGGACAGGGCAGAAGCCAGAGCACAGTGCTAGCGTCCGGCGACGGAAACTAGCAAGGTCAGTTAAGCTAGCGAAGGCTCCGACGTGAGATAAGCTCTCAGGTGAGAAGAGGTTTTGAATTGGAGTGCCGTGATCCGCACACGCTTTAGTAGTCGGAGCTACGGGGCGTGGCGTATGACGGGCACTTCCACCGGCCAATCAGGATTGGCAGATTGAGATAGATGCTTCTATCAGGGCTGCAGGAGGCTGCATCCCATAGCGAGACACCGAGTGAATATTATGAAAAAGAACAACAAAGAAATATTGGTGCTCCAGACACTATGTAAAGTTAAGCCCTTTGAGTACTACCAATGTGAGCGCACACACATTTGCACAGTATAGGTGGGATCCATCATTGTTATTTGAAAGGTTTAAGACTGTAAAATGTCTAAAACCTAGGCCTCACTATTATTCGGATGCTACTTGCACCAGGCTCCCTTCTTCCTTCTTTGCCACGCTTATTAATGCCTGAAATAAATGCAACGTTTATCGAAATCTAAATAATTTGAAACCATTGATATTGATGTAGACCGAGGTTTTTATAATGTCTAATGAGCACTTAATTGAGACAATGCCTACTACAACAGTTTTTAACGATGAGGAAATGGATAACAAGAGCACAGACCAACATTAAATACCAACAGCGTGGACCAACAACAGAGAGCGATGTCATTAAAGGAATAGTACACCCAAAACATGATTAGCCTTCATTTTCTACTCACCTCCATGCTGAACAACACTCTGGAGTACTTTTTTGATATCTCAAATGCATCTGGAGATCTGGGAGGCTTCTTGCTGTCTGCTGACATTCAAATAATGGAGGTCCATGGCGCCCGAGACAGAAAGGTCCATAAAAGTCCACAAAAACGTGTCAATATTCCTCCATACTGCTCGTCCAATGTAATCCAAGTGTCCTGAGTGGGTAGCATCCAGAATTTACTCGAAACGAAGTCATTTAGAATGTTTTTAGAGCATAAACAGTAGTGTATAGGATTTCCTAATAGCGCCCCCATGCGCGCTCACGATTCTACGGAAGCCGGCAGACCAAACCGGAAGAAAGTGCGCATTCAGCGTCTGGTCTGCCGATAATGCAAGCGTAGAAGAAGAAATGTGCTGTTTACCTGTGCAAAGAAAGAAACAACGAAAGAAAAATGTCTGAGGACTTCAGTGTTGAGGAAGAGCATGAGTTCTTTGCCGAGCTGAATGCGCTGGTTTGGTCTGCCGGCTTCCGTAGAATCGTGAGCGCGCATGGGGGCGCTATTAGGAAATCCTGTACGCTACTGTTTAGGCTCTAAAACGTTCTAAATGACTTCGTTTTGAGTAAATTCTGGATGCTACCCACTCAGGACACTTGGATTACATTGGACGAGCAGTATGGAGGAATATTGAGAAGTTTTTGTGGACTTTTGTGGACCTTTCTGTCTCGGGCGCCATAGACCTCCATTATTTGAATGTCAGCAGACAGCAAGAAGCCTCCCAGATCTCCAGATGCATTTGAGATATCAAAAAAGTACTCCAGAGTTTTGTTCAGCATGGGGGTGAGTAGAAAATGAAGGCTAATCATGTTTTGGGTGTACTATTCCTTTAACCAACAGCATTGTAAAACAACTGAAAGGAGGAGGAGGCTAATTATATCCAGATGACAGTGAGTAACACCCACAAAAGCTGCAAGAGATATACGCGTATGCAAATTGAACATGTGCAAAATCTACAAGACCAACATCTATGTCTGCAATATAGACATCTACACATAGAAACAACATAAACCAAAAACATTTATACATATTACAGCTACTTATGTTTGACGCAAATGGAACCCCATACGGTAATAGAAGATACATTTTTTATTGCAATATTTAATAATGGATTAAAAAAATACTATTTAAAACTTCTCTTTAAAATTTCAATTTGAAATGTGAACTCGCAAAAAGGTTTTACAAATTGTATTTCTGTTTTTTCAAAAGGTATTTTTTTTTATTGTATGAAAACAATAAGAAATGCAGTTTAACACAGCCCTGGTCCCCCATAGACCTAAGCTTGAACTTTCTCTGAGGATGCCCCTCTTTGCTGGGTTATCTACCAGATATAAATAATTTTTCAAGAGCAGGGGTCTTCAACCTTTCAAGGCCAAGGACCCCCAAACTGATGGCGAGAAGGAGCGGGGACCCCCTAATTATATATATTCTATGCAATTGTGTTATCAAACTGGTCTTATAGTCACTCAGTGGAGTAGTGTAATGAAAGTAACCCTGTGAAGTAACAAAATGTAACAAAAATAATTTTGCCCTGGGATTATTAAAGTATTCCTGACTCTGATTGCTGGTTGATGGGACAGGTGTTGTGAATGAAACGGTGCCCAGCTTAAAAGAGCTCCTTTGTGTCGCTGAATGTGTGCATTGATGACTGTCTGTATACTTTATATATATATATATATATATATATATATATATATATATATATATATATATATATATATATATATATATATATATATATATATATATATATATATATATATATATATATATATAATATAATTTATATATATATATAAATTAATGAGAAAATGCAAGTCATCTAGGAGTCTTTGGTTAACTCATAAATAATAAATATTTTAATAAAATCCCCCCCCCCCCCCCCCCCATCGAATAAAAATGTTCTGGCTACGCCCCTGCCCCAACCCCTAGGGATTTTAGCTTTCTTTTATCGTTTTGAAAGGAGCTGTCAGAGTAAATAGTGAAAACAGCGCTGCTGCCTTCAGTCTGATTTAGTCCAAAGGTCGCCAATAGTTGATGTTATCTATTATAACAGAAATATGCATGAAGATAACACATATTACATGGAAACAAGTTTAGAAAGAGTTTAAACTAAACTACCGCAGGAACCACAGCGCCCGGGGGAATTTTTTTTTTCTAGCAATATGTGGGTTTATTTCCTAGTTACTGTCTACTGACGGACTCATTTCACACGTCACCAAAAATAATGTTTGTTCTTAGATGCAAATAACGATCGGAAAAATTACCGCAGCTGCGGTGCTGGAGGATGGTGCAAAGGTGGTTGCAGGATCCTGAGGAAGAAGCAAAAGAACAAAAAAAAAACCTAAATTGAGATGTTGAGATAAAGTAAGTCAAGTTGCTTTTGCACGATCTGACTTACAGAGAGGGTGGCTGCTGTCGATCTGCTTCAGTAATGAGTGAGGAGAGGAAAAACAATATATTTATCAATATTTACTTGGGGGTCAAACCAAACACTTCAAGCAGAATGAGTTTATAAGAGCTGATCGTTGCATTTTTCTCACCTTTCTTCCTGGCAAACGGTGTCAGATGTTGAATTGCAGGGTTTCAGTTCAAATAGACCAATTGGACATGGGGAACATGTCCGGCATTTATCAAAGGTCCCGTCATTGAAAGTGTTGGATGGGCATTCTCTAAAAGTGTCAGAGTGTACCCCACCATCATCGCTCCGTCCACAATTAGGGTAAACTTCAAACCCTTAACAAAACACAAAACCAGAGTATAATAGAATAGAATAGAATAGAATAGAATAGAATAGAATAGAATAGAATAGAATAGAATAGAATAGAATAGAATCTTACCAGCTTTTCTTTCACATGGAATACACGTGCGTGTTTCCTGATTGAAGTAGGTAGTTTCATCGATGCACCTCTGCGATACCATGATGATGTTCTGTTGGTCCTCTGGACGTTTGATCAAAGCTGGGTTTTTTTATAGTCCAATGCGGAGCATGCGCACTCACACATTTAAATGTGTTTTTCAATTTAATTTAAGAACTGGCGTGAAATAAGCGAGATGTGAAAGTTAGAATTATACTAAAATAGCTTAAAGGAACTTTCCTCGTTCAGATAATATCTTATATGCAAAGAGATGTTTAAAAACACGATTAAAAGACAGGTTTTCTTTTTTTTTTTTTTTTTATGCGTCAAAAAGTGACCGGAGAGGATATATATATATATGTATATATGTATATATATATATATATATATATATATATATATATATATATATATATATATATATATATATATATATATATATATATATATATATAATAATAATAATAATATACATTTTATTTAAAAAGGCGCCTTTCTGGACACTCAAGGTCACCGTACAAAACATAAAAAGTGTCAGAAAAAATAAAAATTATAATTATAAAAACATTTAAAAACATTTACATTAACATATATATATATATATATATATATATATATATATATATATATATATGTATATATATATATATAAATATACAAAAAAAAAAACGCTATCGAAAATGAATAGTCGAAAACCATTAAGCTCCAACAGCTCCAACAGCTATCCAATCCAAACATTATATTACCATATAAAATATAAACAGCTGCAGCTGTCCTCATCTAACCTGTAAACTGTAAAACTTAACCAGAATCATGGAGACATCAGACGAAGAAGAGCACATAGAGTCAGTATTTTTCGATTTTTGCTTCTGTTAAACTTTTATCATTAAAGCATTCAAATAACCACCTCAAGCTTTTGTCTGCATTTGGGTCCTGTCAAACCTCTACCCCCATTGTAATAGTTACCTGCCTATTGTGTGCGAGAACTAATGTTTTCTCAAGTAGTTTATCTAATTAGGATAGTTCCTATGTCCAGATAAAAAGTCATCTTTATTATGCCATGGAAGAGATGTGGGAATGGAATGAGAGCAATGGTCTTGACCTAAGAACATAGTGTACTATTTTGATAAGGCTGGAGCCATGGATGTCTCCCTATTTACAAACGTTTATGATGTAATGATGTGATGATGTGGCATACTGGAGATGTATAAAAAAAATTCCAGCGTTTTTATTTTCATTACACTGTCATAAGAGCACATGAGCTAGCCACCTTCTTGTGCTTCATGGCGAACTGTGAATCATGGCGAGTTCAACGAGATGTGAGCTCAGTTGGTAAGCAGCTACCTTCTGTAAATCTAAGCAACTTCTCTGATCTGAGTAAGATTAGAATTTCTATCAAAATCTGTTTTCTCGTCTCACGGTTATTTAATACATATATGTTACACCCCTGTAAAAGGGAATAATGAAAAAACCGACATGGACACGGTGTTACTTCTGTCGTTTCCAATGCCGTTATGGACGAGCAGAAGTACTGCGCTTCCCCTGTTTCAACCCAGGCTCGACCAATCGAGACAAGATCAACAAATAAACGCCTAAAACATAAAATCTGAAAAGGCATCACACTCCAAGTGCTGGATACAACCATGCTAGAAACGTAACATTAAACAAAATGCTTTTTAAATGTTTTTAACGGATGCATGTTTTTTTACTGCATCATTCAGTGTCTTTTGAGTTACAAGACCAAAATAATCGATCACAGATCTCCAGATCACATATGCTAAAAGCATCAAAGATAGATGAATTTTGCTAAATGATTATACAAAAATATGATTTTGCTCACATTTTCTTTCTCTATTAACCCTTACACACTCCCCTTCAACAGAAATGTCGTTCCCAACATTCAGTTAAAGTATTTAGATAACAAACATGAAGGGCAGAAAGTCCAAATATACTCAGTCTGTACACCGACACTTGGCCAAACCAGAGTCTATAGGCGTGTAGAAGCTGAACCTCAGCTGATTCTACGGTCAATAAAGGGTGAGTCAGCAATCAACTGCAAAACAGTCATGAAGTTATGGGTGTTCATGGGTATATTCCATTTGGAGAACAGTCCATGAATGCGTGCATGTCAAGTCAATAAAACTTCTGTGGTCCTCAGTACAGAAACACAGGATGGTATGTGGACATCTGTACTGGATCTGGCCACGTAGATCTTGGTTGAAAGGGTCCATGATAGTGCACAGGATCAGGCCCGTATGTGGACCCTGCTGGAAGTTCCAGACTGTAACAAGCTGGATAACCAAGTTCATCATAAGTAAATCGCTTTGGTGGTCACCGCTCTCTTCTAGGCCTGTCTTGTTCTTGCTCATTCACATCGTGGCTCTCACATGGTGGAGGTGACATGGATGGCAGTAAAGTGCCGTTTTCACAACTGTCATGTTGTTCAGGTGCTCTAACTCTGATTTGTAGGTCAGTCATGACCTGATCCTCCTCCAGTTGCAACACTCTCTCTTGTCCATCTCCTCGTCTGTCATGTGTTGCTATTGGTTCAGAGCTTTCTGACAGATCAATGTGGTCCTCCTCAGCAGTGATTGTATCCTGTGGTGGCTCAGGGCATGGGACGTAAAACCATTCATCCTCTGAATCCTCATCACTGCCATCTTTTTGTTGACCGTTGTGTTCACTGTTACTTGTCTCTCTTGTTCTTGTCCTCTGTGGTCTGGCAACTTTCTGGGGAACCTCCAGAGGTAGGTGGTCACAGGGAAGTAGAAGATTGCGGTGTAGTATCCTGCTACATCTCCCCTTTCCTTGTTCAGGTACCAGCTCGTATATTGGAGCATCTTTATTTACTCGGCGCACAACCTTGTGGATGGTGTCTTCCCAATGGCTGCGAAGCTTGCCGGTCCCGCCTCTTGGGGTCAAGTTCCTGACCAGGACACGGTCTCCAGGTTCCAATTCCGAGCTCTTTACTTTACGATCATGGTTCCTTTTTCCTCTTTCAGCAGATTTTCTTGCATTACTCCTTATTATGTCATAAGCTTGTTGCATCCCTTCTCGCCATTTTTGCATGTATTCCCTGTGATCTGTTGTACCCGTTTCTGGTGTCAGGCGGAAACGTACATCAATGGGCAATCTTGGGGTCCTTCCAAAGAGCAGATAAAAGGGAGAAAAACCAGTGACTTCACATTTTGTGCAATTGTATGCAAAGACCAATCTGTTCAGAGAATCTGTCCAATTGGATTTCTCCTTCTCTGTCAGAATCCTCAGCATTTGTATAAGTATAAGGTTAAAACGTTCAACTTGTCCATTACCCTCAGGATGGTATGGTGTTGTACGTGAGCCCAAAACTCCAGAAGTTTTTTTTCAGTTGTGACATGAGCTGATTTTCAAATTCACCACCTTGGTCATGGTGAATACGTTGGGGGAATCCAAACCTTAATGCATAATCATTAAAGAGTCTATCAGCTACAGTCTTTGCTGACTTAGATGTTGTTGCATAAGCTTGGGCAAATCTTGAGAAATGATTAATCACAACCAATATGTACTCATACCCGCCTGAAGACTTGTCAACATGCAGGAAATCAAGAGACACTAACTCAAAAGGCTGGGTTGTAACAATATTAGTTAAAGGCGCCCTAGTCTCTCTGCTCGGTTTCTTTTGTTTTAGACATGTGCAGCTTCGAGACACATAGTGCTCGATATCATGCTGCATATACGACCAAAAGAAACGTTCTCTTACCAATGAAGTGGTCCGCTCAACTCCTTGATGTCCCATATCATCATGCAGACCCTTCATAATGATTGCCTTATACTTTTCAGGCAAAACAAGTTGTGTCCGTCTGGTTGTCTTTCGATGCAAGATCCCGTTTTCATCCAAAGTGAGTTTTTCCCATTCACGTAACAGTCTTTTACTCTCTGTACTGAATTGTTTCAACTGTTTGTTTTCCGGTTTCTTATTTAATTGACAACACTTGAGCACTTGGCCGATATTTTTATCTTCCCTCTGGGTTTCACAAATCTTTTCCAGTGAGAGTGGTGAATACTGTGAAGTGCTAATTTCTTTACATTGCGCAGACAGTGCCATGAACCATACTGCGTGAGAACTTGGGTCCTCAACTGACTGTACAACTGCTTGAACTGAACAAGATGACATTTCCTCAGTACAATGTTTCATCAGAGTGTCAATATCCACGGGCAGCCTTGAGAGGCAGTCAGCGTCAATGTTTTCTTTCCCTGGTCGGTATCCGATGGGGAGGTGGAAATCCGCCAATTCCGCAACCCACCGACACCCAGTTGCATTTAGTTTCGCTGTGGACAAGACATAAGTGAGCGGATCATTATCTGTATATACAGTGCACGATGAGCCAATCAAATAGTCTCTGAATTTTTCACAGACAGCCCATTTTAAGGCAAGGAATTCCAACTTTCCAGCATGGAAATGGTAGTTCTTTTCAGTTTTAGTGAGGGTTCGGGAGGCATATGCTATTACACGCATTTTTCCTTCTTGCTCTTGATATAAAACTGCCCCCAGGCCCAGATTCGAAGCATCTGTGTGTAGAACAAAGGGCTTGCTAAAATCAGGAAAGGCCAGGATTGGTGGTTCCACCAGGTGGTCTAAAAGTTCCTCAAGCAGCCGCTGGTGTTTTTCTGTCCACACAATGGGAAGGTTGGAGGGGGTCCCTGTTTGTTTTCTGTTATTCCTTCTCTTTCGTGTAGGATATTTATCGCTTTGCTTCGGATCTGCCGGAGTGCTCATTAGGTCATAAAGAGGTGCAGCGATCCGAGAAAAGTCCCGGATGTACTGGTGATAATAACTCAGGAGACCCATAACGGCTCTTAATTCTCCCACTGTGGTTGGTTGCTTGCCTTTCAAGGCCTTAATCGCAATAGTATCAGCAGGGTTAATTTTACTTCCCTCTGATGAAATGACACGCCCGAGGTAACGGACCTCGCGTCAGAAAAGCTGACTTTTAGCTGGCTTCAACTTTATGCCATGCATTCTCAATCGTCTAAGCACAGTTCTGACATGTTCAACATGCCGTTCAAAAGATTTGCTGAACATAAGGGTATCATCAAGATATGGAATGCAAATTTCATCTCTGATCCCCTCCAAACATTCCTCCCTGCACCGCTGGAA